CAAACTGAATTTAGAGAAGTTCATGTTATGCTTTCTGGAAAGGAAAAGGATACAAATATAAGAATGTGTCAGTAACTGTTTAAAATAACTTTATAGGCTTTGTTTTGGCTGTAATGCTTTTGCATTCTGTTATAAAAGCGAAGAGTTATGGAATGATAAATGTTTTGACAAATGTAAAAGTGTTATTACTTTTTCTTGTTATACATAATGGAGACACTGTGAAGACAATTTGTTAGGCTTATATAACTTTTTAGTTAATGTTAATATAATGTATGCCAAATATCTTTGTTAACATGAATTAGACTTAAATGTATTAGATTATGTACTCCATGGACCCCATATTCAAAACACTTTGGTGCTCACATTCTCATTTCTTCCTATGGGATTCGAATGTGTGTTTTGCAGTTATTAATTTTAGTTAAGGTGGGTAGCTGCATCAGCACGCGCAGGCTACAAAGGAACAAGTAATAGGTTTATTCCATGCTAAAAAGAGAATGAAAACGCAATGTTTCAGCTGTGGTGCCTTCTTTGGGTGTAAGGCTCCCATCCCTTACATCTGAAGAAAGCTCCACAGCCGAAACATTGGTTTCTTTCTTCTTTTTTCAGCTTAGAATAAACCTATTACTATTACGAAATATTAGTTATTTCTCAGTGAGGCATAGAGGAACCACAGTAAGAAGTAAGAGCATTTTTACAGGTCCCCTTTTAACAGTGTCGCTGCGTTTGTGAAGTTTTTTTTTCTTTTTTTTTACACATCCCTCCCTTCCCTTTTTAACAATTGCTTTTCATTTTTGGCTTTTGGGAGTGCTAGGTCACGAACCAGCTGTGAATTGCTTTCCAAGAGAGAGGTTTGCTCACAAGTAGCCCTATAAACCCACTTGCTACGTCATGACAACTGATGAACTCCAGAGTGAACAGTAAAACAGCAGTGAGGTTCTGGAGCTCAATACTTATGTGCTTGATCACATTTGTGGATGTTTTTCCTCATATGAAGAAAACATCAGTCTTCTGATTCTGAGTTACAACAGTCCCAAATGTCTGTATTTTGATATGTGCTAATATAGAGTGAAAACCAACTTTTTCCCCAAAGATATCTGTACTATCTTTATTTGACGATTTATCAGGCATAGATAGAACCAGGAGTTTCTCAAGAGCAACAGATAATGTACTTTAAAACCTTTCTTAAATGTATTTTTTAAATTGAAATGCTAAAACAAAGATAGTTTGTTTCCTGTTTATTAGATGTATGATGTCTTTCAGTTCACTAAAAGTTTTTATACATTATTGCATGGAGCTGCCTTTTGTTTTTAACAAGTAATTTAGCTCTTATTGACTAACTTCTTTTTGTTCTTTTCTCATCAAAACATTGCACAGAGAGCATAACTGGGTTTTGATCTTCTTATTTTCAAACACACTCCACAGCCTTTTGTCACTTAGCAATTCAGCAAACAGCTGGTGTTGTGATGTAATGTTTTTTTTCATCATTCCAAACTGATGTGGTAACCTGTGTTTCCTCAGTAATCTCCATTTAAATATGCAAAAGCAGAGCTCTCACCTCATCAAAACGTAAAAATAAAATCACAAACATATTTGTTTTGTTCTAAGGAAATTGCAGTTATTAATTTTGTGGAATTGTGAATTAAATGTCCAGTGGCAAATCCACACTGTGCACATAATGTAAAGAGAGTCATGACATGTGAACTACAGTAGCATTGTGTTTAGGCACGAACAAAGTTTGTCCTTGAGATCAACAAGATGTATTATTCTCTTTCAACATTGCAGCTGAACATGCTAGACCATGTACAGTAGCTTCCAACAACGTTGGAGTTCTCCTGCAGTGCTCCTTAGGACTGCATTTCTTAGGTGTGGTCTGGTTATTTAATTCTGAGCACTTTTGCTTTTCTGGTTTGGTTTTTCTTTGGAGTGAGGCAGATTGTGTGAAAGCCCTGACGCCTCATGCAGAGATTAGACCATTTCCATCAAAGGCAACGCAGGCTGGGAATTTGTTGCAATCAGTTAATTACTGAGCACAGACCATGCATGGCAAGGCACAGCGCCACATGAAATGGATATCGGAGCCCCACGAGCAGTCATCAGCCTCCATTGTTAGATAGGTCAGGCCCTCGAACTCTAATCCTATTAAAAGGTCTTTAGATGTGCTAGAAGACAAAGATCTGCAAGTGTAATCTTATGCTTTCTTTCCCATTATTTCTTTCTGCTAAGGTGGTTTAAGGAAGCAGACTAAATGAAAGCAGTCTCGAGAGCCTGAGAAAAAACAGCTAAGGTTTAGTTGCAGATTAAACAGTGCAATTGGTGTTAAATCACATTCCAAAAATGTGCTACACTTCAATTTGCAATTGGAGGACCTATAGTTTTTTAAAAATAAATTACTTCTTTAAGTTTAGTGGAATATTCAGAAGCACAATGATTTGCTTCACTTTTCCGTTCAGTTTGTCATTTGCACAAGTGCAATGAAATGCTTATTTGCATGTATACTCCAATACGAAGACATTAAGGAAACACCAAAAGCATCAACACAGAACAGCAGCAACAATAAGTTAAATAAGATACAATAAAAAAAAAACATCAGTGTGAGCCAGTGGTAGGGGTAGGGGCTTTTATCCAGCATAAAACAGCATAAATATGAAGTGATATAAACTTGGGAGTAAACAATCCTGCAGCTGTCAGTGAAGGTGCATTCTTTGTTATACGAAAGAAGCATTTAATTGCACTTGTGCATATGACAAACTGCACTGATACACCGGCAGTATTGAATGTAATGTGCTCCTCAGTTGTTGACAGACTGTAAAATTGAGAAGTGCTTTGATCTAATACAGTGCTCATTGACACCATTCGCTGCTTTTTTGGCATGATACCAGTGCAGCTGCTTTGAATGTCTTCTGACACTAGATGCCGTCAGGGCATGGTGGAGGTCTGTGCATAAAACAGTGTCTTAAGATGAATGATGTTCCTCTCGGCAGGCTGTATTGAGGAGATAAGCACTTGTGCCATTGCCCTCTGACCTATGACTTCTGCTTAGATGATCCTTTATAAAGGGGCTATCCCCAGGGTGCAGGGACCATAGACCTGTCTTAGAATCTGCATTTTGGCATTTTAAGCACATTTCTTCCACAGTTGAATATTTAATTCCTGGTCTGTCATTGTGTGTGTCCTTCTTTTGGTTGTGAATTGATAGTTGCAACAGTAAATAATGGATAATTGCTAAAAGACCTGCTGTAGTGTTCTCATCAGGACTTTTTAAGTGTTCTTAGCAGTAGTCTATAGCTTACACTTATCCTAGAAGCTATTCTGTTTTTTGCACTACAATGAATTTTTAAAAACAGAATTCAGGAAAGGCCTTTATAAAATAGCCTTTTTGGTTAAACAGTTTTGCATGCTGCCAATCACAGGCTGATTTCCTCTGTTTGGGAGAGAATTGTGAATATTATGAGTTGTAAACTACAGACACCATCATTATGTCTTGCTGTGTTTTAACCAGAAGTTGTCTGAGGAGCCAGTGCTGTTTCTCTGTTTGTTTTGATTGTAGTTGACCAAGTCACCTTGGTTGCCCTTATGGGTTAAGAAGCAACTTATTGTTTGAGCTGGAACTCTCATGTGCTGATGGCCTTGTACAGTTATGAGTCCATTAGGCTTGTGAATATGTGGGCCTTGAGTGCATTAACGTTTTTGTCTCCTTTTTGACTTACAAACAATCTTCTGGTATGCAGAAAAAATGTGTAAAACGTATTCTAGTATCAACATAGAACACAAAAAAATTAAGTGTCCCTGTAGACGCAATGTGAGTAATCCCAACAATTTCTAACAAAGTCTATAAGTTCTTATAGTACTATTGACTTTGTGACTGGCTTTATGGAATTCATCGTGATATTTAAAATGCTAATCTTTGGAGAATATGTAATCATTTTACAGGTTCAAGGATGGCTTGTGCTCAATAACTTGTTCTGTTCTAAAGTACTGTGCAATACTAGTGTAGATTATAATACCCAAGTCTCTTTAGGACCTAGCAAAAACACAGTGTGCAATTTATGGGTCAAAAGTCTTGTTTTGCTATTCAAATATTAGAAGCAGATGACTGACAGTTGTTGGTATACAAGTGAATGTGAAACTGCTGGGTTTTGTTAAAGATCAAAGCTTTAAATGTAGTGAAGACTTATTAGTAAATGGGACATTCCAAAATACTTGCCCTTCTTGTCATTCCGATTAAATTTTGTAAAACAGTTCAGTTTTGGAGAAAATGGTAACTAAAGATTCACCTGAGTGCCTTCCCATTCAGAAGGTTAAGAACATTAAAGCTTGGGTTGAATTGAACTATTTGCCAAACAGATAAAGCAGTCTTAACTTCAGTCATAATTATCATGTGCTTTTGTGCCGTTTTAAAGCTTTCAACTCCAATTCAACTCCAATTCAACTCCAATTCAACTCCAATTCAACTCCAATTCGTCAAAATGTTTTATAAGTGAATTTCAAGCACGTTTTAAAACAAGTGCTCGAATTTGAAGTAAGGTTCAGAGGTTTAAAGGCTGTATTGTTTCTTACATTCAAGCCGCTATTCATGTATCTTGGAAAAAATTCTGTGAAGTCAACCAGGATAAACTTCAAAAATGTAACTCCGTCAATAACTTCCCTTCTGTTTCAGTCATACTCCCTGGTTTGTGATTCATTATTGTGGCCATGATATCAACAGGATTATTTCAGATTGATTTAAAAATCATTCTAAAAATCCAAAATCTTTTGTAGTTTTCTTTTTTTAAACCTAGATATTGGGGGAATCTTTTTTTCTCTTATCTTATGCTTTATTTCTCCAGATCGGACATTGAATGATCTGGATTTCCAACTTCTTTGTTTCTTTTGACGATACAATTTTAAAGCAGAATGCCTGAGATCAGGGTTGGCTCAAACATTGGCATCCTGGCTCCACCTTGAGCCGGTTACGTGAGCTATTCTGAAGGTCCAGTGGACTCTCCCTGTTTGTTCTGCAGTCTGGACAGCCCTCTGGAGGATGCCATCTGTGGGAGCTTGGATGCTGAAGACTTCTTCGACGAGCCCTCTGAGGACGCAGCATACAGCACCTCCCCGCCATGCACTCCGCGGCAGATGAAACGGATGTCTGGCAAACACCAGAGGAACAGCCTGGGCAAGGCCACCACCCGAGCCGCTAACAGAGGTAGGCCTGGTTACCTTGGCGATGCTGCACGATGCACCAGCAGCACAGAACGCTGGTGGCGAGTGGTCAATGTGCAGCGCTTCATTTAAAATCGTTTTAACTTTTCAAACATGTGTCTGCAGGACATGTAGTTAAAACAGTCAGCAAGTTTTTCTTTTTAATTTCCTGTCTTTACCTGCACCTAAAATTTTCTTGAATTGCGGTTAAGAAAATGGTCAGTTGCAGTCAACCTTAATATCCCCTTTTCTCCTGCAGAATGTAGATGATACACTGTGCTATCCAGAAAGAAGGCTTATTTACCTTTGAAACACAATATGTAAAACTTGTTTCTGCTGTTTGAGTATCTCTAAATTATCATCAGATTATGTTCACATAGAGAGTAGATGCCTAGGTATTGGTTTTTGTGTGGCGAGAGAGACTACTTTCAGCGAAAGTGTTATGGCCTTGGTGAAAGAAGGCCTAGATGGACAATGGCTCTGTCCCTCTCTGATGCAGTGCTAGAGAAAATGCAAATTAATTTAACAGTGAAATTTACAGACCTCCATATACCCATTAAAGAAATGGCTTCATAAACCGACCATGCAGTGCAGCAAGTAATATGTCGAGAAAACTCTATTAGTCCTGTAACAGTTTTCTGGTGAGTAAAAAAGAAACCGGGTGAAGGGTTAGAATTTACAATGCTCTTTTGTTAAATATCTCCTCTCAACGGAACCTTGTATACAGTGGTTTATAAGAGGTTCAGATTGCCAGACCCGAATTATTGTAGAAGACTTGGCTCTTACCTGGCATTTACTTTCAGCTTTTTAAATAAAAATAAAAGGTGAGCAATTGAACAGCATGGTTCCCTAATAGCTGGGTGCATTGTTTCCTGAGTCATGCATGGAGTGCAGTGTTGCACAAGCACAAGCCTGTGTTTTCATACTGCACTCTCAGGGTTTTCTGCTTGTCACAGCAGACCACTCTTCTTTACTGTTTCTTACTGTTCCTTACTGGGGTCAACTATAATTTAGTTGTCAGTATACTATAATTAGGCATAGCTGAAGTCTTTACTCCATTTTTGTTCTAAGTTTTAAATACAACATTCGGTACAGACTTTACATTAAAATAAATGCCTGATATTTTTTTAAAGTTTAGGAAAATAGAAAGGGAATAGTTTCTATTTTTACTTTTCATCAAAGAAATTAATTTTAAAAGTATCTTTTGGGATAGAAAGGGTGTCTACAACCAAGTCCCTTGTAGAATAACGTTCTTAGTTAATATTCTCAGGAATGAAAATGGGGTGGAGTTTGCAGGAGCTGCTTCATACATGTGCAGTCGTAACTTTACTTCTGTGCTGTCATCTGACACACTGAAAAAAGTACCTATATATGAAAGTATGGATGGCAGTAAAAATATGAAATTCCTAAATGTTTATCTCTTGGCCTTCAGTCCAGTATTTCTTTAGTCTAGTTATGATTTTGTGTTCTACTCACTGATACTTATTTTCAACTCCTGTGATGATGTTACCAATGCTTACATCATACACCTTTTGATTTTGTTGTTCTTTCTTAACTGTAGAGAAGATCATCACATCAACTCAGACCCCGCATAAAGAAAACAGCAAACCTTGTGAAATCCCAGAGGAGCACATTTACAAACAGGGGAAGAAGCACAGAGCCAACCTGCGGTCGACCGAACGAGACAACAAGAAGACCTTTGAAGGCTCTTTCATGTTGGACTCGGTGACTGGGTCTCTGTCCAGAACCCCACTCCCGAATATGGACCCCCGAAAGCCCTACCTCAGCCTGGGCTGCGGCAGTGCAAAGCTGCCCGTCCCCGTGCCTGTGCCCCTGGCCAGGACAGCCCGCCAGACTTCCCGCACTGACTGCCCTGCGGACAGGCTCAAATTCTTTGAGACGTTGCGGCTGCTGCTCAAGCTGACCTCCATCTCCTCCAAGAAAAAGGAGAGGGAGCAGAGGGGTTTGGAGAACACGTCCTTCATGGGCCAGAACAACGAGGTGATCTGGCTGGAGCTGCAGGCCTGGCATGCGCGGAGAAGCATCACCGATCAGGACCTGTTCCTGTATACTGCGCGCCAGGCCATACCGGACATCATCAATGAAGTCTTGCACTTTAAAGTCGACTACAGGAGCCTCTGTAGCCCAGCAACTGCAGGGTGCACAGTGGATGGAACGCATGAGGAGGAAGGCAAAGAGCAGGAGAAGAAGGATGACCTTCAGGCTTTCCACTGTAATAGCATTTCTGGAATGAATGCCATGGGGCACTCAGACTGTCAGGAGCACCTGCAGCAGCAGAGACTGTCTTTCGAACAGGTGAAGAGAGTGATGGAGCTGCTGGAGTCAGTGGAAGCACTTTACCCATCGCTGCAGACCCTTCAGAGGGACTATGAAAAATATGCAGCCAAGGACTTCCAGGGCAGAGTGCAGGCACTCTGTCTGTGGCTTAACATCACCAAGGACCTGAACCAGAAGCTGAGGGTCATGGGTACTGTGTTGGGTATCCGCAACCTATCGGATATGGGCTGGCCTGTGTTCGAGATCCCGTCGCCCCGCAGTTCAAAAGGGAATGAAGATGAGGAGGATGAGGAGAATGACTCAACTGCCACATACACGGCGGACAGCGAGGGGGAGGACCTGCTGGATGAGGGCGAGAGTGGGGAGATCAACTTTAACAACCACCATGACCAGGACGAACACCCAGCCAAGTTACCCTGTGTGACACCCATGCTTGACAGACTTCTGTCAGAGGATGAGCTCCTGATCGGAGGATCTCTGGACCCTACGTATGATGGGGGAGGCGGCAGACATTGTCCCACCTCCATCTACAGGCCCTTCGTGGACAAAGCACTGAAGCAGATGGGCCTTAGGAAGCTCATTCTAAGGCTGCATAAGCTGATGGACAGATCTTTGCAGCGGGCTCGTTCAGCACTAATGAGTGATAACCAACCTCAGGAGGTGAGAGGATCTAATTATAATGTTTCTAGGAATTTTGAATAGTGAAGGGTATTGATTTTTTTGCTTTAAGCTGATTGAACATTCCAAACAGAGTCTTAAGATTTAAACGGTGTGTTCTTGAAAGGATTTTTAAAAATGCTTTGTGGTAAAATATAATCTAGTATTCTTAATTTGTCAGTATCTTCGGATGACAGATTAAGACAAAAACTTGACAGCCTTTATTGCTGGGAGTGTCCATTTGACCAAATCATTGTAGAAGGTTTAGCAAGAGACAGAGCACAGTGAAGGCAACCCCCTGACCTAAGGAAAAAAAAAAGCTTAACGCATAATTACAGATGTTTTAAAATAGATGGAAAAAGTAATTTCTGTAGCTTTGTAATTTCTGAGTGTTTCTCTTCCACAAATAGGCATCTCGCCCATGCATTAGAGATAATTACAGCTTTCAGAGCCAGGGACACTGTGTTTTAGTTCGTGACAGGGCTGCACGCTGGTGGGGGGGAGATTTTAAAATAGACTCCTCCTGGTCAGTGCCAGTGAGTGCTGTAGCCTAAATTGTCTTTTATTGCTTGTAACCTTGCTGTATTTGATTAACAAAATTAATGCACATTCTTTGAGGTTGGTTGTTAGTATAAATGAATCCTTACATGATAAAAATATTCTCTTAAAATATTTCTCAGTTTAGTGCAAAGTGGATAAAACCTTCGAAAACTGGGTTATTTGCAAGACCCGGAGTTTCAGAATTGCCGAATATATAAAAATCTATACACATGAGGAACATTCTTTGGATGCGTGCAGTACAGTTGAATTTCCACCCCGCAGTTCTCCGAGTTTCCGGACCCGATGCTCTACAGTGACTACCTGCCTGAGCTCTCTCGACATCTGAACCCTGGCTCGCCCAGCTGTGAGGAGAGCGACTGCCGTGTGTCGTGGGAGGAGCTGGTGGCCATGAACCTGCCCTCCTTCCAGCCTGCCTTCCTGGTCTTATGTCGAGTGCTGCTGAACGTCATCCACGAGTGCCTGAAGCTGCGCCTGGAGCAGAGGCCAGCTGGAGAGCCCTCACTGCTCAGCATCAAACAGGTGGCTTCTGTCTTCCTGCCTGTACTGCTCTCTGCCAGGCCGGATTCCTACATTTCATAAGGGAGGCCTTTAGTTTTTGCAGATTTGTCCTTTTTTCCAACCATGCTTCAAACTAAATAAAAACTATTGCAGTCTAAAACAAGTATTTGGTAAACACAAAGGTTTGTTCCATGCTGAAAGGAAAAGCGCAAAATATTCCAGCTGTGGAGCCTTCTTTAGATGTTGCCTGTAGCCTGAAGCAGGCTCCGCAGCTGAAATGCTGTGTTTCTTTTCTTTTCGGCATTTCTTGTAGGCTGCAAGGTTCCCTTGCAGCCTACGCATGCTGGCGCAGCTACCCACTCAAACTTCTGGACCAAGTATTGTACGCTTTCCACATATCTTATACATAGAACACTTTAGGTAATAGATTTATTTCACTGCTTGGGTCAAACACGGTTCCCTGTCGCAAGAACTTTTTGCAGTGCTAAGCCAGCTCTGCCGTGACAGATTTTCAGATGCGTGCTGCTGTTGTTGCTCTTTCAAAACAGCCTTTGTATATTTCCTCTTTTCTTTTATTGAGATGTCTTACTTTTCAGTGTTGTGGTAAACCACCAAGGGAATGCTCTTTGCTGGAACATCTTGAGATGGGGTCAGTGTCATAAAGAGAATGTATTGTAGTGGCACAAAACAATGTTGTGCAACAGGGAAAGGAAATAGGTCTACAATTAAAAAAATGATACGTGAATAAGTTATAGCAAGCTGTATTTAAAAAGGCATTTTAGTAAGGCATCAGATTTTATTGGATGTGTGCATACAGTGCCCTGATATAATGAGAGTCTTTGACATATAGTACACTGCAACACCATAACAAGCAGAAAATAGAGACACAAGGGCTTACTTGTCTGGGACTTTTGCATTAGGAATGATCCGAGATAGAATCTCAAGCTGATATTTGTACCAAGCAATGTACAGAGACACAGAAGTGTTACGAAGCAATGTACAGAGACACAGAAATGTTTCAAGAAGACTGAACAGTCTCAGGTTTTGTTAGTTGGAGTATTGGGCAGCTTGTGTTTATAATATTCAGTAATGGAGTCCCTGTTGAGACCCTGCTGAAATGTGGTTTGTTTTAGCAGTGTCTGACTCGGTTTTGTCTTTTCTGTGTTTCAGCTGGTGCGCGAGTGTAAGGAGGTTTTGAAAGGGGGCTTGCTGATGAAGCAGTACTATCAGTTCATGCTGCGTGGCCTGGTCCAGGACCTCCAGGAATTGCAGAAGAATGCCAACATAGATGAATTTGAGGAGGATCTACATAAAATGTTAATGGTATGTGTTGGGTTTGGTACACCTTGGAGAAATGGATGTCGGTGAAGGTACTGGCCCTCTGTCTCTATTTGAGTTAACTTCAGCTTCAGTCAATGTAGTATCTACCATTTCTGTTCTCACAAAGAGTCAGATGTCATTACTTAAGTAGCTGCTAGGAATCACATTTAAATTTTACTTTTTCTCAACTGCTTCCTAAAGATTTCCTACTGTACATTAGAGAATCTCTTCTTTTTCTCCTTTCATTCTGTGATGCCTAGCAACCCTGTATCAAGAACATATATTTGAATACTCGTACTCTTGTATAGTCATTCATAAAAATCAAGTGAATTGTTGTAATTTTGCACCCTGTAGCCTACATTCTTTGGCTGCAAGAAAAGCCTTTAAAGTCACTTGAAGTGAAACCCATCTTTAAAGTCACTCAGTTTCTCTCTTTTCTGTTGTGCTCAGGTGTATTTTGATTACATGCGTAGCTGGATCCAAATGTTACAGCAGTTGCCACAAGCCTCTCACAGCCTGAAGAACCTGCTGGAGGAAGAGTGGGACTTCACCAAGGTTATCACGCCATACATCCGAGGAGGAGAGGCCCAGTCTGGCAAGCTCTTCTGGTCTGAGACTTCAGTCTTAATCTTATGTTTTTCTTTAGTAAGGTAGCATGAAGACAGCTTTAGTTTCTTCCTTTTTTCTTGGCTTATATTTAATGACAGACTTGTTTTTAGTACAATTAAAATTTGTATTTCTTTTTGTGAAGTATCTTCAAATAGGAGTCAGTCCTCAGGGTAGCTAGAGGTATTTCAGACATGAGTGTTGTGTGTGACGTATACATAGCTCTCACTTATACAGTCATCTTTAACTGGCATGGTCTAGATATTCAGAAATACCAGATACAGTAGTTGCATCAAAGTGTTTTTAATACACTTGTTTTTAGAGTTCTGAATGCGTTTACCGCATAAAATATATTATAAATAAATCATGGAATGCTTAAAAACAAACAGACTACATGCACATCTTTGAGCTACAGTACTGCAGAAACACTGCTGTACAGTACACATTAGTGCAGCTTTTGTTTAATGCAAAGTGTAATAAAGTTCAGCACAGAATCTTTTTAAAGGAGAAATATTTACAAGCAATAATTTATGAATGACTTTCACTGAATTGGTCTGTGACTGTGGGGAAACTGTTGGAAGCCAGTTGCTGAATTATTGATGTACTGTAGTGAAATTCCCTCTCTGTCTTACAGTGACATTGCTGGCATGCTGCTGAAGTCCACTGGTGACTTTTTGGATGCAGGCCTTCAGAAGAGCAGGGATGAATTCTGGGAAAGTGCAGATGACAGCACTGCTTCTGATGAGATTAGGTATGCCTAGTGTGTGTGTCTCTGTTACTGTTGGGACAGATGTGGTAGATTGATCAGGACAAGGACAAAGAAGGACAACTGCTTATCTTTTCTGTTACCCAATTCCATTTGAACTCGAGGGAAAAGGGAAAACAGATCTATTACTAGGGGAAGAAATTTCTGTGAATCCACAGTTAAATGGATTAGCCTTCCTGAAGGAAGACTAGATTTTTATGGGGAAGATGCACAATCTTTGAGGAAAAAGATCTTTATTAATATGCTGTATGCATTTACCCTCTCCCTGTGATTTCCCATTTTGTTGAATTCCATGTGATAAACATACACTTTTAACAAGACTATTTGTAATCATAACTCCAAAGCTCATACAGAACAACTTTGAGTGAATGTGGTTAAATATCAACAAAAACAAAAAAGAAAGAAATCAAGCACTAATAAAAGTTAATTGCATAAATATTCAGCACCCTTAATCAAATACTTTTGTGGAAGCATATTTGACAGCAGTTGACGTGACCAGGGTTTCATCATATTAATCAACTTACATAAACAATTCAGAAACTGTGCTGCATATTCCCTGTGTGTAGGTGACAGGAGTTCTGTTTTATAGTTTAGTGAACATTCCTGTGGTTCCATCATTTTCCCAACAGGCGCTCTGTCATTGAGACCAGCCGATCACTGAAGGAGCTGTTTCACGAAGCCAGGGAGAGGGCCTCAAAAGCTCTTGGATTTGCCAAAATGCTTCGCAAGGTGAAAACAAATGCCTCCTAACATTTGTATTTTATCTTCGTTATACTGTGGGTTTCCTTTATCTCCGCAGTTGAACTTTACCTGCGTTTTATAGTACTGCCTTAACTACCCAAAGCTGATTTTACCAAAAGAAAGACTGCTGTTAATAAGATTCATGTGGATTTGTTTTTATTTTCCTGTGCTGTGCTTTGAAGTTTCATGAAATTGGATCTTTGGGATTCTTGCTGAACTGATCTAATGTTTTTTTTTCCCCTGTTATCATCTTCAGTGACGTGTTTGCCATGCGACAGGACTGTGTCTTTTGACTTTAACCTGTAGAGAATTTAGCAGCTCGATTCTTTCAGTGAACACTGGGAGCTGGGTAAAGGATTGAGCTTTTTTTTGTCTTTTACATCCACAGAGCTTTTCCATCTTAATGGAGTTTTCCCTTTTTGTGTTTTTACATGCTCCAGGACTTAGAGATTGCAGCTGCTTTTGTCATCTCTGCTGGTGTGCCAGGTCTCCTTTGTAATCTTAAGGAAAAACAGTATGTCAAAGTAAGTGTTGTAGTATGGTAAAATGAAATAATAACAAGAAATTAATACTTTTTGATATATTTAATAACACCATTGATGCATAGGTGGCCAGCAAGGTATTTTTATTAGGTTTAAGACATTGTTTCAGTATCAGTTCAGAACTGCTGTGTTTTCTGACTTCTAAGTTCTTAATCACCAGCAAATTTAATTTCTATTTTAGGTATGTTTTTGTTTCAGCTCTTAAAAACCTGTATGGGGTTTTGAAAATTGATATTTATCCTGTACTCTTTTACTCTTGAATTCCTGAGGTCCAGAACTCCTCTTATGCAGGTGTGTGAGCTGAAACTTAACCAGTTGGACTTAAGAAAAAAGAAAGAAAAACACTCATTGTGAGAATGTTGCGTACATTGTCATTCTCACCGGTGTCCTAAGTTCATCACCTAAAAGTTAATAATAATAATTGCTTACACTTATATAGCGCTTTTCTGGACACTCCACTCAAAGCGCTTTACAGGTATTGGGGACTCCCCTCCACCACCACCAATGTGCAGCATCCACCTGGATGATGCGACGGCAGCCATAGTGCGCCAGAATGCTCACCACACACCAGCTCTCAGTGGGGAGGAGAGCAGAATAATGTAGTCAGTTCATAGAAGGGGATTATTAGGAGGCCATGATTGGTTGATCACCTAAGAGCATTTTGTTCAGTAATGTGGGAGCAGTTTCTAACTGATTGGGGAAAAGTGAAGAGAACTGGCATAAGCATCTTCATGCTGAGTTGTCTGGAAAAAATATACCTTAGCTTAGTACTTTTAAAAACAAGGGCTCGGTGCAGAAAAAGGTCCAAACAAACATGCGTGTCAGTTACGTGCATCACTCGGCACTGGTGATAGAACCCAGGTGGAATGAAAACCCAGCAGACAAAGTGGTCTATCAGGTTGAGACAGTGGTTTTGGATCTTACTGGACTGGTCTGTTTACTGTGAATTAGCAGTCAGCAGAGTAGGGCAGTTTGTGTGTTGCTGCAGTGTCTCAGCAGGTGTCCCCATGTCTCCTTGTGCGCAGGTTGAGATCCCGGGCTTGGAGGACCTCCAGGTGTTCGTGCCAGCCAGCCTAAGTGCTCAGAGAGCCATCATCCTGCAGTTGCTCAATGCTGCTGCTGGCAAGGATTGCTCTAAGGAATCTGATGACATTTTGGATGAGTCTTACCTGCTGATGACCAAGCAGAAGGCTGGCGATGTGGAGAACGAGGCTGGCCGGAGCCTGTGGGAGGGCACTGTGCTGAAACTGGTTCCTCAGGTGGAGACAGTGGACACCTTGAGATCCATGCAGGTATGGCCCACTTTGAGAGGAGTGTCTGCAGATGTGGAGCTATGGAGGAGAGGTCTGTGTGTACTGTTGTTGAGCAGATCCAACTCTGAGTGGACCTGGAATCATGTAGTGAGGGGAAGGGTGGCACAGTAGGGCAGTGGATAGCATTACTGCCTCGCAGTGCTGGGGCCCTGGGTTTCAGTTCTAATCCTGGGGTGCTATTTGTCTAGAGTATGCATACTCTTCCACTCTTTGTGTGGGTGTCCTCTACGTGCTCCTGTTTGCTCCCACAGTTTAAAAAAACATACTAATGGGTTAACTGGCTTCTATGAAAACTGGCATCAGGCATCACATCCAGGGTCTACCCTGCCTTGCGCCTATTGCTTTCCTCAGATATACTCTGGCTTTAGACATTTAGACAAATGTCTAAAGGCTTACATTACTAGTCCTGACCTTTAGGATTATCTCCGGTATTTACTATAATTGTCCCATGAAACAGATTTTAAAAAGAAGCTGCTTTTTAGACCTGTGGTGATTAATTTGACTGTATTCATTTGGGTTTTAAGATGTGATATTTATTGCTGCTGTTAGGTAAGATTTAGATCTTCAGTGTCTTTTTTTTTTGTCTGAATTACTTTTGATATACACAGTACCTTATTAAAAGAAACTTCAGGTTTAAAAAACAAGAGGAGGCCATTCTGCCTGTCTAGCTCATTTGCACATTACACAATACTGCCCTCAAATCCTATTGATCTGAGATTCTAATCCAGCTGTTTCTTAAAATAACTTGGCCAGGTAGTGTTTCACAACCTTCTGTGCAAAAAAAGAGTAGTTTTTTGATTAAATGCACTTTCATGAGGTTTCCACTTGTGGCCTCTGGTTCATGTTTAACTTGTTTTTGAAAAAGTCCACTGTAATAACTTTGTCGGTGCCTTTGGGAGTTTTGAACACTTAAATCAGGTGAAAAATCAATTTCTTCAGCACTAAAAAGCTTTTTTTTTTGGCTTCTCAGTGTGAATATTCCTTTAAACACACGGATGTATTTAGTCAGTTTTCTCTGGACTGATTTAAGAGTAGCAGTATCTTTTGAAAAATGTCCAACATTGTGCACAGTACGGTAAATCAGATCTTGCTAGTGCATTGAACAAATTTAAGATATCAACCCTTGATTTAAGTTCAGTGCTTTGAACTGCAAGGAAAAAAAGCCTTTTCTATTGCTTTCCTGAACTGTTTATGCAACTTAACATAAGCACCTAAGTCTTCTTTGTGACTAGCTTCATCAAGATCAGTATTTTTCAATTTATATATGTAGTTTACATTTTTTTACCAGCATTTAACACTTTACATTTGACAGTAATCTTGTCCAGTCTTGGATATACTTTGCTGCTTTTTATGGTGTATCATCTTACTTTATCATCTGCAAACCTGTCTAATTTACTAACCATACCACAATTTAGGTCACTTATATACTGTAAATTAGAGAGAGCAGTGGTCCAAATAGAGATCCCTGTTGCACTCTGTTCAGTACAAAATACTAATTTGAGCATTTACTCCTTACTCTACACTGTCTTCTATTCATTAACCAGTTCCCAGTTCAAACAGACATTATGTTGAATGCTTAATACTGTAATTTGTTTTGCTTTATGATGAACTGTATCAAAAGTCTTTTCAAAAGCTAAATAAAGATTACCATAGCACCATACCTCTATATGTGTTCATTACTGTGGTTGCTTGTTTAAAGAAATCAGAAAATTTTATAAAAACGTGCCTTTTCTAAGTACATGTTGACAGTTCCTTAGGATCCTAAGGATTTCTTCCTTGCGATGCACCTGGTTGAAGGGTAAAATTGTAATGTACATAGCCCTTGCTGTGTAGAGGTACTACAATGACTTGTCTTGATTTCTGAATGTGTTTTTCCAGGTGGGCAACCTGCTACTGATCGTTATGCACTCAGCCCACCTGGTTGCCCAGAGGAAGGCTTTCCAGCATTCCATGGAGGACTTGATCTCCCTGAGCAGAGAGCAGACCTCCAGCCAGCCTGTCATTGCCAAAGCTCTGGAACAGCTGAAGGTAATGAGTTTTATGTGAAATGGCAAGATAAGTACGCCATAATCAAGGACGGTGATTGAAATCGGCTAGATCAGGTAGATCACCTTCACAATTGGAAAAAAGTGCAGTGCAGCACTACAGCACATTGCAGCTCGCATGACTACATCTGAAGGCATGCATTTCTATCGGAAAATGCACCACTATTAGGCATTGTTTTCATGTACTGCATGTTATTTTTTATTTTAATTGATTTTACTTGCAGGATTTTATGTACCTCTCAGCAAAATGATGTATTTAATTACCAAACCAGAATTTTCAAGGCTGCCCAGAATGCTTTAATCAGCAGTACATAGCTCTTTTGGTCATCATTTGATGTAGTTAGGACTGATGTGTGCACTTTCCCTTGAAGAACGAGGCTCTGCAGCTGTGCATCAAGATAAACAATGCCATAGACCGGGTAGAGCACATGTTCACATCAGAGTTTGAGGCGGAGGTTGAGGAATCGGAGTCAGCCACATTGCAGCAGTACTACAGAGAGGCCATGATTCAGAGCTACAACTTCGCCTTTGAGGTAAGAGCCCCTCCAAACACTCTAGCTGGGACCAGAGAGCCAGTACACTGTGCTCGTGATCATTAGCTGTAGATCAGATGTCATTTGAGAACTGCAGGCAGAGGGTTAAAATATTTACATGAGTATTAAAATTAAAACTCTACTTGAATGGGAGCTTTTACAATGCACCTTAGTTGTATGGCAATTTCTTACTGTCCTTAACTAATTACTCAGAAGGTTCATGAAGTCTCCGTAATAGGTTAGAGAAATCTACAAAGTAAAAAAAAATGTTGGGATTTTTTTTCCTTGGCGCTCTTAACATTTTACTGTAGTCTGAACCCGTGTTTACCTGTGGTTATTCTGCTTTGCACACTCTATCCCAGTACCATAAGGAAGTGGTGCGACTAATGTCTGGGGAATTCCGGCAGAGGATTGGGGAGAAATACATCACCTTTGCAAGGAAATGGATGAACTATGTTTTAACAAAATGTGAAAGTGGAAGGGGCACGCGACCCAGGTAATGCAAGTTTATGGCAGTAGCTGAGTAATGAGAGAAACCTTCAGCATCATTTTCTGGTACTTTTTACAAGAGCATGTCATAATCTCATTTTAGATGGGCGACACAAGGCTTTGATTTCCTTCAAGCTATTGAGCCTGGTTTTATTTCTGCACTGCCTGAAGATGACTTTCTGGTAAGTATGTGTGTTTTAATGTGAAGAAGTGTAAAAACATAAAGAAGGTAAAAAAAATGTTTGCTTATATTAAACTCTAATCTTACCTGTCTAGGCTTGTGATACTACTGTATATCAGAGCAATTGTGTTTTTTTCTCTTTTCTGGAAATAAGAGTTTACAGGCGCTGATGAACGAGTGCATTGGTCATGTGATTGGCAAACCACACAGTCCTGTCACCGGCCTGTATTTTGGTAAGAAGCTCTCAGCACACTATTCAGATTTTGAGACCTATAATTCACCGGATTTTAGCACAGTTTAGATGGGAATATTTCTGTGTTCATGGTATGCTGTATATTTTTCCACAAATTAAGTTAACAGAATTCAGTGCAGCAGTTAGCATTTAAGGATTGTTAATTTTTCCAAAATGGAGAGTTTCGTGTTTTCTTTTGCAGGCACTCGGAACAACCCTCGTCCTGTGAAGGTGCCCCGTTGCCATAGTGATCCCCCAAACCCCAACCTGTTTATCCCCAATCCAGAGGCCTTCAGGTAGGCCTCTAGTTCATATTAAAAACGGATTGTTTGTGTCCTGTTTTAACATCATGTATCTTTCAAAGTGCAACTGCATAAGGAAATATTTTTTATTATCGTTTTATGTTTATTCCTGGTAGCTGACAGACTGCTATCCTGGCATGAGTATGGCAAATTAAATCATTGCACACAGGACACTGATTTTAAGGTTGTAAGGTTTTCTTTTAAAATTTTCCAGCTCCCTTTAACTACAGTTTATACCTGAAGGAGTTGTAAGTAGGATTAAAAAAAAAACTTAATTCATGTTACAGTATATACATGAAGAGAAGGATTTGGTTATCCATTTTATTCATAGTTAAATACTATGAACAGTTTGGATCTGACATTTAAAATTATATGGTTTAACTAATATCCTTGTTTTCATAATCTTTATTAAATAACAAAATCCAGTAAGCAAATTAGGAGGATAAAAAAACATTAGCAGTAAACATTAGTCTGAGAACACACTTGCATGTCTGACTTCTGTTAAACTGTAGCTTTCAAAGGATAAGTGCTTAATGCAAACCATTTTTGAAATGACAGACCAGCCAAAAAGGTATTTAAGTGTAAATTTCTTCTCTTGAAAGTACATTCCTACACCCGATCCAAAGCTTTCTCATATTTAGAGACAATGCAGAGTGAAAAAGACTACTACACCATAATGTGGCTATCTTTTAAGTACTGTCTTTGTTTCTTTGCACTCCACAAGCGTCTTAAGATGAACTTGATGTGCCAGATGACCTTGGTTGTGACTTTGTAAACGTGTTGCCTCCAGGGGCTTTATGTAATCGCCAAGACCCCTTGAATTTCTTGTTTTTTTTCTTTCTTTTTTGCATGGTGTTGTAACTCCTCTAACCTACCATCCAAAGATGACAAGCTAGATTGAAGAAATAGAGGTTAACTGTGTGTGTGCTTTGTATGCATGAGCACCTTTCTGAAGTGCCTATGGTAGCGTTTCTCATAACCTTGAGCAAGATGTTACTGTGAACAGCTGCTAAATACAATTCAATGCTGTAAGAAATGAACATTGAGTAAGTGGCATTAAACAACAGTTTAAGTTCTTAAACAGAAGGCTTTTGCAATGGAAAGTTTTAGGTATGTTTAAGAAAGTGATGTTCTAAGGAAACTATTTGAAGAATGTTTAGTCCAAAAGAGTATTTTGAAATATTACCTCAATAGCAAAAAACAGATGTGTGAAATGAAGAGAAAAAAAATTAAAGAGCTTTCAGCTGACATGTTTTTAGTTAAGCAGAAGACCTACATGGATTCTCTTCAGAACAGTTTCCTTGTTCCCCAGTTCTCCGTGTTGTGGTACCGTGAGTCCCTGGTCCCAGAGAGAGGCAGTTTTCCTCAGTGTGCTTTTTCGTCACAGCTCTCGGAGTCTCCCCTGTGACCTGCGGAGCCAGCTGTGCCCTACACCCCCCCGCCCTGCCCCAGGCCCCGGGGAGCCCTGCCACCCCAAACCTGGCAGCAGCTCTAATGAAATCAGGTAGTCTGGACTCTGCCTTTCCTCAGAGACTGGCGCAGTCTGCCGATCCACTCCATTTCCCACTGGCTGCTTGCCAATATTTTTTTGTTTTCTTGTGTATTTGTATTATTACAGCTTTGACATGGCATGCCACCATATTCTAAAGCACGTTTAAAACATGCAGACATATCGCGGGGGGAAGCAGCTTAAAGTCTATTCCCTCATCCACCTGTTGTCCTTTCACCCTAGTGTTGTCTGTGAAAATGTTTGAATTGTTTTTTTTTTTGAGTACCATCCAAATGAAGTTGGCTTTTGGGATTTGTGAGATTTGCACAGTAGTAGTTGATCCCTACTCGGACATCAGAATTAGAGGCTGCCTCTCTTCTTCAGACCACTGTTGTAGGTGTTTTTGAATCTCTGGTAGGAGGGAGGGACAACAGCAGCGGTCTCGAAGGTTTCCTGAGCATTTTGTGGTTTTTACTGATCAGAGGGGAGGTGTGAATGTGATGCTTTTCTAAATGGGAAGGTGGAAGGGAATATTTGTATATCTGTAGAAAGAGAATTGCTAGTGTCTTGCGCAGATTATGATACTTTTGTGCATTTTGCAAAAGGCACACAAAAATGCTACCATAGTTAATTGGTGTGAATGATAGTTTTTTGTCCTTATTTTGTGCGTCGAATAATTAATGCAACATTTCTTTTCCCAACAGAAACCTGTTTGACCAATTTACCAGATCCAGTGTCTTAAGCTGTTTTCTGTTTTATGTGATGCACAGACTGGCCCATCAGCGTGTGTGACTTCGATTAGTGCTGAGGTGTGTTTGACTTTATCATCTACAGAGGTTCTAATCTCCACGAGAACGACCGCCTGTCTTCAGTTGCAGCTGAAATGCAGTTCAGGTCTCTCAGCAGACACTCAAGCCCCACAGAAGACCGTGAAGGTGAGAGCATGGTGATTCTGAACTCTGAATTTCGTTTGCTTTGAGTCCAGTGTCCGTTGGCTTTATTTTGCCTTTTCTCTTTCTTCTGGAGTGCTTCTGCATATCTGTGTGGGGAGCAGGGGTATTTTCCCATTTAAGTGTTTTAGGTTACAGATTAACTTGATCTTTTTAAACTCAAGCATTATTATTATACTGTTCTTTCTGTTATAAATTTTAAAATCGCATGTAGTCTTGTAGGATAATTAAGCAGTGCTTTGTCCATCTATTTAAAAAAAAATAAATTGACCTGCCAGGTAGCAGATATAACTGCCCTTCTCTCTGGAATTTCAATAATGGAAGCATTACTGCCTGTCTGTTGTCCTTAGAACCATCCTATCCTAAGGGAGACCCAAACACCACAGCAAGGAGGAGCTGGGAGCTCCGAACCTTCATCAGCCAGTCCAAAGGTGAGTCAGGACATTTTGGGAATGAGCAGCAGTGCACTGCTTATTGTTAACAGTAGTTGTTAACTTGCTCCCTTTAAAATATTATGTCAGTAAAATTTGAAACTTTGTCCTTTTAAGATGTTGGACATTCACAGGTGTCACTGAAAACAGACACAAAGTTATCAAAATATGTTAATTACCAGATGAAAATAAATGCCAGTATACAATCACTCTAAAAAATATGAACACTTGACATCTTAAATAATCTGTACAGTTGCACAATAGAATCTGTGATTGTTTCCCATTAATTTTAGCAAATGTCACACAGTATGCAATATAAAAACTTTCTAGGCAAAGTGATCACCGAACAATTCGATTGTTTGGTGATGTAGCCAATTCAGATCACTTTGACAATTTAACACTTTAACAAAGTGTGTTTGAAGTATAGCAGCAGAACGTACCTTGCAGTTCATACGTTTTTCATAAGGTTGTGTTCATTTTAAGTGATACCTGAAAGTGGCAGACATTTTAAAGGAGAACTTTGTAAATGGCAAGATTGAGGAATTGTTTAAAGGGAAAAGGCAGGTGTCACCCGCCACATATCGAGCCCTGCTTGTGTGACCAGATCCCTCTCCTGCTCTGTCTCCACCTCTGGTTAGACACCGCAGCTCGACAGAGCCCCATGGAGGCAGTGCGCAAGTCCATCAGACTGCTAGAGGACAAACGGTACGCAATGATGAAACAGAAGAACATCATCGGTCAGGTGTGCAACATCCCCAAATCCTACGACAACGTCATGCATGTGGGTCTCAGGAAAGTCACCTTCAAATGGCAGAGAGGCAATAAAATAGGTAAGTTCACACAGTGTGCTGCAGAGGGGAACCTGCGTGTTTTTCTCAAGTTGCATGGAAAAGTAAAATCTGTTACTTCAACTGTTGCTTTAATACACACTTTTGTTTTGCCAGCTTTAGGTTTGAAAACTATTGAAAGTCTTTGTGTAAGAGAAACCACACTGTGGTCAGTAAACACTCCGGTTCAGTGTTTTATAACTCTTGTGTGTCTTTATAGGTGAGGGACAATATGGAAAAGTATACACCTGCATTAATGTGGACACTGGAGAGCTGATGGCTATGAAGGAGGTAAGAGTTAAGTTTCAATCTGTTTTTCGTCTTGCCTTGTTGAACCCTCCACCAGCAAGTGATCTTTAAAACAAAATGTGAGCAAGTAGCTTCAGTTTAAAACCTTGGTGTTATTTTAAGTGCATGTTGGAAACACCAGGACATATTTCTCCCACTTTTAACAGTGCTCTGTTAAGATGTTTGCTTTACCTATGTGATGGTGAAATATTGATACATGCCTTATTTATAGATAACTGTAATGCTTTACTTATTGGCTTGAATTCCAAGATGGATAGATAAGACTTTATTGATCCCAAAGGTAAATTGATGATTGATGAAATTGATGTTAGATACTAAATAGATTTCATAATGTCTAATATTCTACAGTTCATATGCCAACTGAAGGTACTCTGCATCAGTACATAACTCCCATTCTCCAAGTGGAATTTAGTGTACACTTGCAAGGCTCATCCGTCTAGCTTCACTGATTGCAGGAGTGTAGTCTAGTTTTTAATCTGAAATCTGATGATTCAAATAGGTGCTCAAACCTGCGTCCAGTATCGCATCTGTAGAAGTCATGGCCCATGTACATTAGAGACTCTGTGACTGTCTGCCTCATATATAGGCCTGTATAATCAGTCATTGATTTTATCATCAGCGTTTTTTTTTGTTTCTAGATCCGATTCCAGCCTAATGACCACAAAACAATAAAAGAGACAGCAGATGAACTGAAAATCTTTGAAGGCATCAAACATCCAAACTTGGTTCGGTACTTTGGCGTAGAGCTACATCGGGTAAGGAGCCATTAGCCTGTTACAAGTCGGAAAGAGCACAAAGTGACTCATGGGAGCTATAAGGGTTTTCGGACAAATGTGTTTCTGGCCTAAAGAAGATTTTGACCTCCAGCTGACATTTTAGATAGATATTTAGATAGATGTAAAACTGCTTGGTGCTTCCTAGCTACAAATGTGTCCTGGGTGAGACCAGCTACCTTCAACAGCAATACATGATCCAGTGGTCAGTGTATGTGCCCTTATGCAGGAGGAGATGTATATCTTCATGGAGTTCTGTGACGAGGGTACGCTGGAAGAGGTGTCACGGCTGGGTCTACAGGAGCATGTCATCAGGCTATACAGCAAACAGATCACCATTGCTATCAACGTGCTGCACGAACATGGCATCGTACACAGAGATATCAAAGGTCAGGCACCTTTCCTGCCCATTCAGTTTGCTTAAGAGAAAACCTGCCCCGTGTTTCTTAGAGACTTCAGTTAGGCATTTAAAATATTTAACACTTAGAATTGCTGTTTGACCCTGTTTAGTTTTTAGAATACATTTTGTTATTGTCTTTTCAGTGCATGTAAAACTGAACAAATGGGAGTCTTGTGTTAGCACTTGCTAACTAGCCAGGAATAATATCCCTCTGAAGATAATATTACTTAACACCTAGACAACCTAGTGTAAGCAACTAACGTTTCCTAAGTATTAAAACATCTCCCTTATCAGAGTTATGAAGCAAAATGTTTTTTTTTCATTTATCAGGTGCCAACATCTTCTTGACATCCTCTGGACTAATTAAACTTGGAGATTTTGGCTGTTCAGTAAAGCTGAAGAATAATGCCCACACAATGCCAGGGGAGGTAAACAGCACTTTGGGCACGGCAGGTGAGACCATTTCTGATGCAGAAAGTACATTCTATCATTTGACTGTTAAGTCAAAACTTATTTGGTTCGAAACACGATGAAGTTCTCTTTCCATGTATTATGACTTTATTGCACCATATCCAGTCCATTACAAATCAGTCATTTAAAGTTCGTTATATCCTGGCAATTATACTGTGGTATATAGTAATGCTACATCTCTTATGTGAGTTAGGAATTTGAGGTGCCAATGTGCTGCATGTTCATTGTTACAGTGCTACCTGTTTATGCTGAAGTGCGAGAAACCGGTTCTCGTGTGATGACACACAGTGTTTCCTGCAGTTTTCATCAGTGCTGTAGTAACAATGCCTTGTTGCTCTGCAGCTTACATGGCACCTGAGGTCATCACTAGAGCAAAGGGTGAAGGTCATGGGCGAGCTGCTGACATCTGGAGCCTGGGCTGTGTCCTCATCGAAATGGTTACAGGCAAGGTGAGACGGACCTCTTACATAGCTTCATTCTCATTCTGCATCCCACCTGTCTGTCTTCTCTGTTCACTCCTCCTCTACAGCTCTGTCTACGCTCCTGTACAGGAGACCGTGCACATCTTTTCTTGTTCTTCGTCGTCAGTCTGTGTACTCAGCTCCCACACAAATCAATCATGCCCTCCTTTATCTGAAACTGGGGTCTTGAGTAAGAACTAAATAGGACAGTAGGATCTTTTCTTTATTTGCATAACTCTGTTTTGGCTAGAGGACATGTTTAGCATTTTAAGTCTTGCCTAAACGAGTGCGGACAAAGTCATTTAAGCAGTGAGGCATTGTTAGTGTTGTATTGTATCCAGCAGGTGGCACAGCTGTGCGGTTTTCTAAACGGCTGCTGACCTTTTGTTTAAATGCTTTGTAAAGGCCAGCTTTTACAATAGAAAGGTCAGATCTTTTTTTTTAAGCACTTGAAAAGCAGACCATTCAAAAGTTTGTGAACATTTTTATCAAAAATCAATGTCTGAATATGCCAGAAGAAGGTATAGTGAACTGCAGCTATTAAAGAATATCAATAAGAGGAATATGTCTTCGGTTATGGATTTAAGGTAAATGGAAACTGCTGTCTTGAAGAAGCAGCAGGTTTGCTGATGGTGTTGTGTTGTTTGTTTGAAAACAGCGCCCCTGGCATGAGTATGAGCACAACTTCCAGATCATGTACAAGGTGGGCATGGGGCACAAGCCACCTATCCCTGAGAAGCTGAGCACTGAAGGCAAGGACTTCTTAAGCCATTGCTTGGAGAGCGAGCCCAAGCAGAGGTGGACTGCCAGTGCACTGCTTGACCACCCTTTTGTGAAGGTCAGTCATAACTTTCTTGTAGACCGACACCCTGTCATCACTGTACCCCTGACACACCTTTCTCTGCAGCTGCGGCTGTGTGAACCCTGAAGTGTATGGGGCAGAATTACACAAGCTGCAGTTTTGTTTCATCCTCCCTTAGGTCTGTCATTCATTTAAATAGAATTATGCAGGAATTCTGATATTTCTTTTAAGTGGTCTTAAAAAAAAAAAAACACTAAAACTTTTCCATCGCTGCAAAGGCCAGGAAACAGATAACCTTCTGTGGTACACAGCCACAGACATGGTCATCAGATATGAAGTTCCAGTACAGTTTTAACCCCCCCCAAACACATAGTTAGACAAAAAGGGGTTATTTAGATGAGTAAGTGGAGGATGTTATACCAGTAACATTTTGCTGGCCTGTTTTTCTTTCATTAGAATATTAGTGCTATTTTCTTCTCTGCTGTAATCTATAAACCATTAAGGATTTTTTTTTGCTTTAAAATTATTGTTGCAGGCAATCTATAAGGTACAAGCCAACAGCTAAGGAAAAGAATTCCTCAGTCAAATGAGTAGACTCACAGGGGGCAATGAGTTCATGGTTGGCACAAGAAGCTTGAGACATTGATTTTTGCTGGCCAGAACAGTCCTCTTGAGGACTGTTGAAAAGTGTGGTTCAGTCATGCACCACATTACCTTCATTACAGCCTCAGCTGAAGGCTATTGTGTTTGAAGAATGGGATGGGATTGGTCTGAAAATTATTAATTATTATTAAAGAACCTTGTGGAACATATCCCACACCTTTGTTTCAGCTGTTATTTTTGCTTGCAGCGACCTCATTTTTATCCATATTTCTATAAAATAGTTCTACCTATTTTAGCTGATGAGTGTTTAACTTTGATGTTCATGTTTCTTTGTGCATTATTTTAATGCATGAAAGTGCATATGTAGATATCTTTTTTTCCAAAAATATCATTTTAATTCCAGGTTTGTACAGATGAAGAATGAAGCTTGAAGTGACTCAACGGTTGTTCTGACACATACAAACAAATCACTACTGTATGTAATATTTACAATAAATTGTGTTCAGACAAACAACAATGCATTTTAGCTATTGAGGTTCACAGCTGGATTCAATCACTCATCCAGTAACACTGACAAGTCCAGCAGAAAAGCAAGTCTTAAGTGTATAGTAAGGGGCATTTTTGTACATAGAATTGGATTGGTAATCCATGTATATAGAATTGTAAAGCTTAGTAGCCACTTCCAGACTTGCTGTTCTGCTGACCTTTATTAGAAAATAAGAACAAAGCTTGGGTTCTTTTTGCAGCTAATGCTTTTTTGCCCAAGAAGTGCAACTCTATTCCAACAGAGGGGAGAGTGGCTGCGACTTCAATTACCAACAGGGAACGGTGCCGATTAATTCGGCCTTGTTGAAGGGCAGATGTTACGAACCTGCAGGGTATGAGCTCAGAAGTGTGTGTTGTACTGGTTCTTGTGTTCCATTAAAACTGGAGAAATGAGTAAGATCCACAAAAGGGTTCTCATTATAACTATTGTTTAGGGCAAGCTTAGAAAGGTTTTTATTTATTCGATTTTGGGGTTAATTATTTTCACTATCTTGCCTTGAAACACATTTTTACTGGTTGTATATAAATAGTGTTGACACAAAATCATCCACACTCCCCAAGAGGATACCTATACCTGCAGCAGTTCCTGGCCTGCTGCTCATGACTTGTATCCCTGTGATATAAGGCTCTGGAACTCCTCTGGCCCATGGAGTGAAGTCTGTGTCCCTTTCTGACTGACAAGCTCAGCAATCAAGGAGGTCACTCCAAACTACTGCTGCTGCTGCATTCGATTCTGGCACATGCTGCTCCTGTGATGTTTGCAATGGAAAAACAAAATGGCAAATAATAAGTGCATGTTTAGGTAAAAGTGCCATTACTACTGTACAAGGACCACTTGTGGTTTCTGCCATCAACTTGCAAAAGAACAGCAGGGGAACGGCTGGGAGTTCTGACCCTGAAATTCTGGACTTCTACTGTCGGATAGCCTCTAGACTGTGTAAAGATGATTTTTGTTTTAGCTTTTTCCTGTTTGTTGTGCTGTGCAACTATTTTTAATTTGTACAAATGCACTGACTTCTGTAAAACTCGTTTTGCCAGCTTCTGTAAGTTTGTCTTCTGCAAAGACTGATCAATTTTTTTTCCAATAAATTGTTTATTTTAGGAAATATGTTCTGTGAAACAGAATTCTTCAAAAGGACAGAATCTGTGTTTTTATTGTTACCTGTAGTTATAGAGGAGGAACTGTACTTGTGCAAAACAAAATTCTAGATAGCCATCCTTTCTCTTAGGTAAGTGGTTTGTGAATATTGTAGGCTTTTATGAATATTTAAAGACTTTCTAGGTATAATCACATGTAGTAAATGGGAAGTGCATGACAATAGGAGCATACTTCTACAACTACATTAATGTAATGAAAAATACAAGTTTGTTTTGTGGGTTGCAACAGATAGCTCAAGCAGGCTGTTGTCAGGAAATAAGTAAAAATAGACAGGAAGTGCTGAGCATTTATTTCCTTCCATGGCAGAAGTACATTTATAAATTCATAGCCTTTTTTTCAAGGAACTTGTCAATAAGACACCAAGCAAGTAGTAACAATTAAAAAACATCAGACTTTACAATTTACAAAAAAAAAATATTTATTCATGTTAAGTTTGAAATTTTCTTTAAAGGAGTAGCACAAAGTCACTAAAGGAGTGTTAAAGTCCAGGTACTGCATGTAAATTTTTTGAAAAGCACAGATAAATCGCATTTGTGATCAAAAGAAGTTCAATAAAGAGGAGCATTGGGAGCGTTGATCTCTCCACAATCTTAACGGCAAGTCTTCTATATGCCAATCCTCATTAGGGTACACGCCTTATGCCAAATATTAACACTAAACAGAGCCGCCAGTCTTGACAAATTAATAATTTATTAAAACAAATAAGAATCCACAATGCTTATGTTTTTGCTGCATTATATACATATGATATATTTGTGTGCCTCAGAAATAAACATCAAAGCTTCTCATGCTCTATTTATATGGTTTGTACTTTTAATATTAACAGTCACTTGCATTTCATTCCAATGATTTGCAGAGCAATTAGCAAAGCTTATAAGTTGAAGAGACTAGTAGCACAGATCATAGTAGACAGTCTTTTCTGTTGGTACAAACTAAGCACAATTGTGTATAGAGGACAAAGTTATGGGCTTGCATAACGAACTATTTCACCTGATTTTGTGTTCTCATTTACTGCATAAGCATTAATTTCTGCTTTATGATTTGTCAGACATCAGAGCTAGATTCAGCAATACCCTAGTATGCAGGTACTGATAAAAACAAATTCTGAAGTGCGCTGCAATGTCAGCAAATTTGCAATGAACAAAATGGAACCACTTAATTCCCTCTTGATCAGGTTATTTTCCAGCAGTGGAATCTGTTCATTACGGAAGGGTCGTTGATATTTCTGGTATCAGGCAAGCTCCTTAAGAGGTGGTTTGGAGGTCACTGTGACTTAAAAACAACTTCTGACAAATAGTCTTTTTTGGTGGGCCCCTCGGGGTTTGGCTTTTTTTAGGAGGCCTTTACAACAGGTCCTGCATGCCTAGTGACTCCTGTATTTCACTTCATCCTCAGTTGTAAAACCTTTAACCCTACTGCGCTCTTTAAAGTTGTGTCCAGCTCTGAAACTAGGACAGATTTAAGGTCACCTGCAGATATCCATAACAACACACACACGAGAAATACAGTTATTCAGTTAAGATATTAAGGGCTCAGCTGGAATGAAAATAAAATCCTGATATCAGACTCTTGGAAACCCTGCTTTACAAGAATGGTTTTACTTTCTCTTGTTCATGGTCTCATTTTTATTAGGCCCCTCTCTAAAAGTACAATTTCAAAGTGCAGTGCAAAATTAAAATATACTATTCCCTTGACTATATTTGATCCATTATACCCATTATAAATATTAAAAGCAGTTGAAAACTGCCTCTGTCAATCACTCCACTTTCACATTAAATACTGAAAGTTGTTTTAATACGGAATCTCTGTCCAATCAAACACTGAAATGTCCTATTATCGTAATACTAGTAATCACTGTTTGACACAAGAAAACAAGCTTCCTGCAATTGACTGACAAAAACACTGACAAAACCTCTGCTACTGTAGTTTCCTTAGCAGCCAAGGCAACCAAAATGACATTGTGATTTGACCATGTTCCTGTTGGTCAGCCATCTGTTTCCATTTAGCTGTAGCATGACATGTAGTTTGGGCATGCGGTTGCCCTAACTACGCAACTCCAGTGTTGTTTCCTCTTACACCTGTCCTGTCTGGCATAGCACAAAGGCTTTGGGAAATGTGCAGATGTGAAAGTCAGTTCCACAGATGGGATGGGAAGTTCAGCTTATGGATATATGGAAATTAAGTAATTAATACCTTGAATAACTGTTCTTGATAGCTACATTACAGACTGGCCATTATGTCCAAAAAGTTATTTTTATTGATGTAAGTCTGTAACTAATCTAACAAAAATTGCACATAAGCAAAACAATCTTTATATTCTAAACCTGAATGTTGTTGTGCTATCCTATCAATAGAATACCAGCAATTTGATTTTTCCAAATTACATGGAAAAACAGCTACACCAAGAGACAAATTATTTAGGCAAGAAACCATATTGTACACCATGGTTAGTCCTATTAAAATAATTAAAGTTTACCCTTGGATTAAATGCCATGGATTTAGAGCCGATGTAAAAGCAATGTGACGTGGTATTTTAATGAAATGGCTCACAAGTACTGGCACTAATGAGAATTGCTACTGTTACACAGTTAACTTGTGCTTTGCTGTGGAAGGAACTGGACTTTTACAAGGGTTTTTCAGTGCAACCTGTTTATAAAAAGATTCTTGGCCGTTAAGTTTTAATCTGTTTTTAGGGCAGATATCATAATCTGAACCACAGCAGCTTATAAGGGTCTAGGCAGTACATGGTGAACCGGAATAAAAATTCATAATGGTCTTATTAGCACCGCATCTGAACACTTGTAGCTACATCACGTGTAATTGTAAGGCATCTATATGTATCCATAAAAATGAATGCATGTGCTATCAAGGCACATATACAATAAGTGACTTAAGCTGTCCTTCAGTCTGTGATAATGAATTAAGCTGCACCACTAGTTTTTCCTAACTTTTGAAAGCTCATGAACTCTTCTGTACAGCAGGTAGTGTGCCCTGTAGGCGTCTTCCATATTTTTATAGTACCAGTGTTAATAGTGTTCATTGCATATATCAGCATTTTATCCTGTTATAATACAAAGCTATGTGTGTCGCCTTTGGTTTGACATGGCTTCTGAATGTTTCAGTTGGTTTTTCGTTGTAAATCTTTATTCCCATAGCTGGATCCCTTGTCTATCTCTGTGACTCCAATCATCCACCGAACTCCAACAGAAGCTTGAAACAAAAAAAAAAGGGAGAGCAAGTTGTTCTGTAAAGTACCATTACACACAGCAACAATATTAATAACATGAATCTTGGAGAATTGGGTGGGTACTTAGTTCATGGATAAAATGTTTAGTACATAGTCAATGTCCACAAAGGCATAATACTGCCCATACCTGGTAAATGATTAATGCATTGCTAGGTGTACAAAGCATTATATCATGCATTTACTGTCAAATTAGTGCATCACTGTAATCAGTGTCAACACTGAAACAAAAGAGACCATGGCTGTAGGCCTGTACAGGGGTATTTACAGTGTAATACTACAACACTTTCCCCTTCTATTTCATCATCTGCTAATTCCAAAGTACAAAATACGCCTGTTTCATAAACTATAATTTGGATAAAGAAGCAATAAATCCTAAGGACAGGAAAGACAGATGCTCCTGCGGATATCAAAATCCTCAGCGCAGCTGGTTCACGAGCTTGTCAACACATTAGGAATCAAAAGCCATGTAATGTCATGTGAACCTTTTCTAAAAGCTTTCAGTCTCTGGCTGTGCTAACCAGCAGCCTCTGCTGAGACAGTCTGTATGTTTGATGAGGGAGTGGATGGCTTGAGACAGCAGATGATCTCAAATCATTTAATAGTTTTGTTTTGAATCAGTAACTTATTTATGGGTTGCCTTAGGTTTTCAGTCAAATCCTCCACATCACATCATCTCAGAAGACTCTTAACTCAACAGCATAGAAAACATTATTTTTATATTATGTTGTGAAAGGACTGTTAAGATTGTAGGGCAGATTGAATGCTTTAAAACATGCAGATTATTCTCTTTAAAGTTTTCAATAAACACTGCAATATCATTCATCACTTACTTCAATTCTTATCACTAAACATACAAAGTAAGTTAAGCAAGTACATTTTTTTCAGCCTGGGTCATTTTCAGAATTACCACCAGCACTATTATGATAGTGAATCTTGGTACGTTTGCCCTGTCTTTTATTTTTAAAGCTTTCTTGAGCTTATTTCTTGAAAACTTGCAACCATTATTTAATCCATTAAATGAGCACATACCATTACAGAAAAACATTACTGTAACAGATGAAACTCGTTCTGTCATTTGAAGGTACTTGGCCCATCAAGTTCCTCAATTTTGTAAGACTTTACATAAACCAGGATTGAAAAAATGAGTGTCATGCAATTCAACTGCAAGGCAGCATGCTTTAAAATTCCATACTTCCAGTGATGTAAAGCTATACTTACGAGTACCTGACTGACAGTTTGCTAATAAAATATTTGGACACAGGAAAAAAAAAAGAATTAATCACGCTTGATATGATATAAATCCCAAATATTCTACAAGCATTCATTCGAGTGAGGACCCCAAGGCTTAAAGCTGCTCATTCCAATTCTATACGTGAGATAACCCAGAAATTAACAACAAACTTTTAAATTGGTATTAGCATAAATAAAGTCTACCTCAATAAGGGAGACACAGAAAATAAGGGACTGGTTCAGGATCCCATTGGTTTTCTTGTGGATCAATATGTACTTTATATAAGATGTTACCATTATTGTTAGTAGGTCTAATAGTGTCCTTCAGGGATACTCTTCTTTCTTCAGCATGGATTTCCTATCGTACCGACCCCCCTTCCCATTTTTACATCTTGCCCTTCCCTCCCCTAGCCACTGTCCTCGGAGCAGCTGGGACGGTGAGCCGGTGTCGTCCTGGCATGCCTGAGGCACAGAATTCTGTGCTGGTTCAGCGATGTACTGCGGACGCTTTAGTTTCAAAGGTGCCTTTGCAAGCACACTGACCTGCCACACAGAGGGCGATGAAGCTGAAGAGCGTCATGGAGGAGCCGGTGCTGATCACGCTGACCAACAGATGGCCGAGGGGGTACAGCAGGAGAGCTGCCCAGAAGAGAAAGTTGAGGAGAGCCCAGGGACGCCGTGGCGGGCTGACTGCCTGGCCTGGGAAACGCCCAGTTTTATAGTACTCCTCCTGAAAAGCATCCTAGTGGAGAAAAGGAGTGGATAAGCAGCATCAGCACTGGATTGGTTCTGATGAAAAAGCAAGTCTTTCATTTTAAACTTTGAAAAAGATATTTACATAATATGAAAAGTGTATTTAACTTACAGTTGGGCTGAACTGTTTCTAACAGTTCTTGTGTTGGGTGTGCAGTACTGTATTGATAAAAATCTTTGAGTGTCTAAGGATACACTCCAGAGATTAAATAATGGTTACCTCAAACACTAAAAGTCCACTTTCATGCATGCACGCTCATTTAGAGAGAAATTATTTAGCAAGAGAGTCTTTCAGCCAGACTTTATGAATTAGTCCTTCCTTTCAAATGGTACAGTGCTTCTGGAGGTATGAACACAGAGACTTAAAAGGCACAGGCAATTAAAAAAAACCAGGTATTCAAACCCTTTCCCGTTTAATGTGTTTGGTACACTTTTTAATAAAAAAAAAAGATCACTTAATCAAAACATTAAATAAGCTGTCTCAGCCATATTCTACAGTGGAAATCAGGGTAGTTCTCACCTTTTCCTGGTACAGTTTGTGGAGCCAGTTAGAACACTCTACCTCATCCTCAGGAATGTTTTCTAAAGGAATCCGCCTAGGAACAAGAAGAAATAAAGTCCACAGATTTAACACCATCCACATTTCTCTCCTTTAGTGTTTAGATTTTGACATGTGCCCTTTTACTTTTTTATATGAATTGTAAGAATTCTATGTACAACAGGCATGTTATACATAGGGTATGTACAGTAGTGACAAAAGGCAATGCTCCTTTTTGTCATTTTAAAATGTTCAGTTATATATATACCCCTACAGGGTCTACTGGTTTTCCATTACCCCCAGGCATTTAACCTTCCTCTACCACCTACGGGTCTGACAGTTTTCAAAACCAGGAGGCTTTGTTTTAAAAATTCAGTGCGGTATTTGCATGGCATTGGAAAACCTGATAGACTGGCATATCCCATCCAGGGAGTTTTTCTTTTCTTCTCTTTTCAGCATGGAATGAACCTACACATGCTGACGCAGCTACCTGTTTGAACTGTATCAAATAGTGATGTAACCTTTTAGAAATTAATCCAACACACTATCCATAAAAATAAAAAGGACCGCTACCAAGTAAATGTTTTCAAAATATGATTTGAAATACTAGAGCAAACTTTCCACAATTATTTGCACATTGTGCCCAGAAGTATCAAAAACCATTGTGTGATTGTGCAGAGTGCAATTGCAACTACAAGTTCCTGTGATGACATGCCTCTTACCTCACATATAAATCTGCATGATACTTTTTCCCATTGAGAAGTCCCAGTAGAGTTGGGTTTTCATTGTTTCTGAAATTAAGTGTAGAATCGTACACAGCAGCAACTACAGAGCAAACAGAGAGTAAAACCACACAATGAGTCAGCTCATCTGTCCTTGCATTTCACCCGATGACTGGGGTTAAAAGTTTCATGGGCATTATTCACACCTGCTTTTTTTACTCTGAGCTTGCAAACCGAAAAAAGCCAAAAGGTGAAGAAGAAAAAGATAAGCAAAATCACCTAAACTGTAACTGAAACAAAGTCAGTTATTAAATGAAAAAGACCTCCTTTTGTGTAACATGTTCACTGAAATTTTACTGAACAAGCATGAGATAAGTAAATTCATTATGCCGATTAACACAGTTGGAAGCAATAAACTGTACATCAGCACCACATGGATTGCACCAGGGTGCAGATGATTTGGGATTCCCATTCTTCCCAATAATTTCAGTGATCCCAATTGTGGTAACAGTATCTTATACAGTACCATCCCTTGTAGATTTATAGTAACTAGTGTCTCAAGGTCCTTTCTGCAAAGGGAATATTTGTATCTGTGTCCCTAAACTGTAGGCAATCAACCCCTGCTTTCACTTTGCCCAGATGCATGTCAAAATGAAGTTTGTTCCTTTTCTGTTGCAACTCTAGCCAAAAAAAAAAAAAAAATGGTGGACTCATAAAGCTCTGACTCACAGCTCTGCTACCATGGAGAAAATCAAAGTACATCAACACATTATTTACTTAGGCACAGGCTCTTAAAGTCAGAATTGACCAGATCCCATACTCAGCTATTACAGGACACGGGTTAACATTACTCCAGTGTTTCTGCATGGCAGGTACAATGAGTTCTCTCTTTACTGTCTCAGTACAACAAACATACGATAATAAAATATTGCGATTAACTCCTTTCTGCTCCTTACCAGAATTGCGCAGGTTCTGCACAGTGACACAAAAGCCTTTTGTTCTGGGCAGGAGATGGTATTTGAGCTTGGGCAGCCCCTTAGCTTCTGCCACCTGCATGCTGATCTGATGCTTCTTCTCTGTGAAACGTGTCCCTTCGCAGTGTAATAGAAACTGCAAAAACACAGAAATGACATCAAGGTGATGTTAAAGATGCATCAATGGCTATAGTTCTTTTTTTTTAAAAGCTGTAGAATGTTACCTACTACGTGTATTATGGCTCTCAGGGTCATATTATAGGAAATATTAATCATGGCCTTTCCCTCAGCCTTCATTTACTTTTTTAATGAATAATACAGATCTAAAAAGGATGTATTTAGTCTGCCAATAGGAACTCACAAAACTAGTATCCTGGAATGCCTTATACTTGAAAGCATCACTGATATCCTGATACAGTAAGTGCAAATGTAGTGCAAGAATCACTCGTTTGTAACGTTCTGGTCAAAAATAATAAAATGAGTTGGGCCAAATGATCCCAATTCTGCCCCTAGCAATCCCAAGCCAAATCTTCACAATCAGTTAGTGCCATGACCCAGACTCAAACTCTCAATGTCAAGATCACAGAGCTCAAGCTGTGCTTGAAGTAAGCTCTCTTTACTTGCTGAGCCACTCATGAGCCCCTTGTAACAAATTTGTCAGCCAACAAACAATTTGATTTGTCTTTGGGGAGTATCAAAACTGTCCTACCCTGAAACAGATACACTGCTGGTTTTAAAGCTGCCACAAATCAGGTACACAATTTTTCAGATCAGTAAAAGAGAAGGTTCATGTCCCATAAGGAGAACACTGCAGAAAGCACTTATGTTGGGATGTTCAGCTGGACTGTACTTGCGGAGCATTTTTCAGTTGGTCATACCCAGTAGTTCACGGGATAGTCTCGGAGGTTTTGTAAGCTCTTCGCCACCATCGTTCGATCCTCATCCCACTTCCGCTTGCAGAAGACAATCTCAAGGAAGTACCACATCCAGCCAATGAGAGGTACATAAGACAGTTCTTTTTTAGCCAGGACCTTGGAGCTCTGAAAGAAAAGGATTCTCTTAGAGCCACCAGAATAAGGCGTAACTAAGACTGCTGCTGGTCTGAGGCCTATACTGTATGATATCTTTGGTACTGTACGTATGCCTGTTTTTAAAGAAGCAGTTGCCAAAGGAATTTTCTGCTGTAGAGTAAGTTGTGTGTACCTTGTGAGAAGGGGGTTTTGAAAATGGACAGGAAACAGTCAGATCCTATGGCTACTCCACATAAACAAAGGCTATGAACCTTGTTGTAAAGAGCGTAAACACTAGCATAAAATAAATACTAGATTTACATGTAATGCCAGTATATATTTAAATTGAGTACTCGAGGCTACGTCTTCCATTTCAAACATTGTCAGTCTATGAAATTTCAGGTCTCGTCTATCATTTTATTTGATTCATAAAAATTCTATGTATTTCAATTATTGCACAAAATATTTTAATGATTGTATATGGACAGGCTTACTACTGTTCAATAGTAAAAAAATATAATTTAAGGGTACAGTTTCACAATCAAACATTTAGAGAATCTCTTTTTTTCCTCCAGGGCAAGTATTTCAGTAAGCTTGCACTCCTAAACAAAATTAGGTTCTCCAGTTATTAAGTTAGCTCAAAAACAAAACAAACAGAAAAACAAACAATATTTATAACTTAATGCCATCTCTTACCCCTAGGACTCCAAATCTTTCACAAAAGGTCCAACCACAGAGGAAGTCAATCTCAAAGTTGTGATTAAGGATGACAATGGCGTTTTCTTTGCCATAGAGTTTATAGCTTTCCAGATCAGTGTAGAGCCTGCACTCAGTACCCGACCACCACTCAAGCAGGGCCACCATCTCTACAGGGAAGCACAAGAAGCCGAGAAATGTCACAGTCACACAGGTTTTTAGACCCTAATGTCAAATTGCAGAATTCAAAACTACACTTCATGAGAACCTCACAACTGTCACCTCATGGGGTCACTGTCAGTACAGGAACCACTAAATACATTCCATAAATAAACAGACACAAATTCCTATTTGCCCTCTGTATTAACTTCTCCCTTATGAGCTGGCAATATTACTGGTAAAATGGTAATTTTTTAAATAGATTTTTAAAGTATCCTAACCCAAACCCCAATCCTAACAAAACTCTAATCGCACATGAATACTCAATGCTGACTATAGACCCGTACCAACAATCCTGAATGAATGAAACACTAGGAGACTAGAGATGAACTTCATGAGCAAGTTCACAAGGGTTTTCATTTGGTTAATGTACAGTACAGTAACATGTGCCTTTCATGGAAACAGTGACAATGTTTTTTCATTCTTATATAGTCAGTATTAGATAAAGATACATTGCATATAATATTAAGTTTAGGTCCCTTAAGAAATCAAAGCAGTTTGGCACTGCAATGAGAATGACCATCATAGGTCAATACAACTGTTAAGTCAACAAGTTAGAATTAACTTACTTTTAGCAAAGACATTCATAGAACTTTCAGAATAATAGCACACTGGAACTTTCACTGCTAAACAATGACATTACAGTGTTTTTATTTTCCTCCACAGCTTCACATTCATGATCTAAATTATTTAAGTGTTCTGCTAAAATATATTGGAAGTGCCATATTGGTGACTCATGGGTACAGGATAAAATCAGGTAGATGTGAAAGCAACATTAGTTACAACAGTTACAGTTCAATACTAGAATTATCCAACAGTTTTGCTTCAGGGGTATTTTCCTGTTTATTTAGTGGGTCTTAATTTAGCTTGTATCATAGATTAAACCTTATAGACGAAAAAAGCACTAGAAAAGGCTTTAAGGAGATAAACCTCTTAAGTGTCCTTGCATCTCCTCTTAAGTGTCCTTGCATCTTAGAGCTTCCCTTTATACATGTCAAATTGTTGCTGTGCTGTGGATAGAAGCTATACCTGTACTGAAGTTCTTCCAGTTGAATGCAATAAAAACCCTAAGTGTACATGTTCTAAAGATCAATTCAGATTTGCCCTAGTGTCATTTCCCTTTCAGCAAAATTCACTAGAATTATAAAGCAACAGCTGTGAGAGTAGCATGAATGTGGTAGTGATGGGCACAGGGCACTCACGGCTCGCTATGCAGTATCCCAGCCTGCAGTTCAGCCTCCTGTAGAACTGCTTGTTGAATGGCCAGATTAACAGGGTTAATAGCTGAATGAAGTTGATGATGAGGCCACTGACAAGGAACACATAGCAGATAAGGAGATGACAGAGGAACTGCGATTTCACAAACTCCAGCACTCCCATTCTTCAGAAGTAAACAGACCTCAGCTGGAATAGCCTGTAAAAAATGATGATTAGTGCACTCTAAAAAGGGGGAAAAATTAATTACTATTTATATCTTTATTATAGTGGTTATTCTTATGAAACACTTCACAACATTTACAACATTTGGAGCTTGTGCAACAAATGGTCAAAGAAAAACAATGTGCAATGTTAAATACAACAAGCTGAAGATAAAGAATTGCTGGAAAGGAACAAAGTCACTAACAGTACTTTTCTAATACACAGACATGTGCTTTATTTGGTAAAGTGCCTCGCACAAGTCTACTGATCATTGTTAATAAGCTATGGCCTGGCCAGACAGCAGATCTGTTCCCTCTGAGAACATGTTTCTAGTTTCATAGGATCTCTTTATTAGGGTCCTCACTAACCGACTGGCAAAAGTGGAGAACCAACTTAAACCCTAAAGACAAAACAGGATCATCAGTACAGTGAAGGCTGGGAAATTACATCTTCTCTAAGCCAATGTTACTGTTGGTGCAGTGATGTGCACACAGCTAAAAGCTTCTCTGTTGTGCAGACTGCACTGCACTCACTCTTTTGGTTTTGTGCAAGAGCTACTTTTCTTTACAGGCTCAACAAATACAGGAAGTTTCATCAGAGGAACACCCATGCACTCCTGGGTAAGCAGAAGTTAAAATGTAAGCACCTGGTATTTACTAATCCCAACTGAAAGGGAACATTACCCTAACACACAGTGTGTAGCAAGACCACTTCACTTTTTACAATGCATCTTACTCAGTATACAGTACGTCACAGTGTTATGTTAAGAGGTTAATCTTTCTAAAACAATTACAACCTATTTCTCTAAAACATGTTTTCACATATATTAGACTGCAGCTATTCACCTCCTCACACTGCTGGGGACTTTGTGCTGTCTTTTCAGGATGAAGGACCACAATACACGTTACAGTCCTGCAGCTCACAGCAACAGACTAGAAGTCTCACCAGTCTATAAAGTCTGCCTCCTACAAATCTACCTAGAAATAAATCATAGAGATTAAAGTATTCATATTTCTCCTACACGATTCTTAATGCACTTCATATACAGTACTGTACACTGAAGTCCAGTCCTAAGGTAAGATTGTATGTACCTAGTTTAGGTACACTACTGAAGCTCAACTTTAATCAGTATGTTTCTGAGTTCAGTTATAACTGAAACAAATCATCTATCAAAAACATATTTTAGTTGTTGTAAAACCACTGTATACCTCAGTATTGTAGCTTTACAAAATAATGATACAAAGTAGTTTTCATTATCTCTTTACAAAGTTATAATATTATCAGTTCTGCCATATTGTTCTAAAAGCTTTTTTAAAAATGAAAAAGTTGGGAGAAGTACTCTGTCAGTGGCTGTTAAGTTAATAACTCAGGGTACTTTGCTCTTCAATTTAAGAGGAAAACAATGGTTGTCAACCCTTGTGAAATAGTTTGTGGTTTTATCTGGTTACAGGAAGAATGGTTTGTACAAAACAGCATTGCACTGGTCTGAGGGAAACCATCTGCGATATTTGTTAAAGATACCATGCCTTCTTGTGAAAAATCGACATGGCTGTAGATCAATAATTTCCACATACAGTATATCACCTTTTCTACAAAGATGAAATTTAATATCTTTTTAAATAATGTTTTGAGTGAATATTAATATTTACATGGTACACTGTCTAACCTTTATCACACTACACTGGCGTCACACCTGTTTGTACAAAAAACATTTTAGAATAGTAACTGGACTAATATAATTTATTTCACTTTTACATGGTTGTATTAAAATAACAATTACTTTACTATGCTTTCTTCTAATGTTCTAGGTAAAGTAAACAGTAAATTACCTAAATTTATCATCACTTATGTTGCAAAATGAAGATGGATAGCTCTGTGATTGAGACACCCACAGAACATAATATATCTGATTTCTCTATACTGCCTTTTATGAAAAAATAATCTGCTTCAGCAGGAATTTAGGGTAGACACATTTTTAATTTAAATAGAATTTCAATTCAATACTGACTCTCTATGGGCAAATATTTGATAAATTTATAACTGATGATTTGATTACAGTGTTTTTCACTAGTCAGGTGCAATTATAACTGTGCTCTTAAATATTTTTTTTTTCTAAGCACAATCAATGACAAAAAAGAATTGGAAAAGCAAAAATCTATAATTGTAGATATATAGGGTAGTTTTGGTATGTATTCTGGCATTGTTAGTTTCACAGTTACAGAACCTGCAAACTCGTGTTCAAAGTCATCCAGTTTGTGATGAAACCAAATGTGTCTGAGTCTTCATTTGTAGAGGAAATTCAGCAATATGAGTGGAAAATACACAGTTCACTGAACATGTAATCTCAACTCAATCAGGTCTCAGATTCCTTGCTATTTGATCAACTTTACAAAAGGATGTCTCAAATGTGATAAAAGACAGAAGATGTTTAACTTAAACAAATCTGTGAAAACAGATTTTAAATCAGCAAAGTTATGCTCCCTTAAATTACTAGAGCACAATGCACTGTTAAATATTGCCTATTGAAACAATGCACAGTATTATGAGCACCAGGCAGTTAGGTTTGATTGCCATGGTTTTTAAAGTTCTCCTACTGAGTCTCACCACAGAATCATGTCTCATTAAGTAATTTGCTATAAAGCTTTGCTTGGCTTGATTTGTGCCTGACAACTCAGTACAACCTCACCGTGCAGATGCCTATACAAGTAATGATAATTGGGCTTCCTTTGGTCAAGTCATTCAATGTTACAGAAAAGCAGGTGAAGCAGAAACAAGCCCAACTGGTCTTGTTTCAAATGTGAGATGACATCACAAACACAAGTTCTACAACATTTTGGGAACTAACTGGGGAAAGTTTCTTCCAGTTGGTAAGAAGTTAAAACTCATGCAGAACTCATAACTAGAAAAATCATTGTTTCTTTTGCTCAATGTGACAGCAGAATTTATTAATTTATTGCAGTATTCTGCATACAGTACATGACTCTGGAACCAAGTTCTACATATCTGTTACTTTTCAATGCCTTTTCTTTAGAAGTTGATAAAGTGCAGAATAATTAGTATAAGATTACAAAATATAGAACATGTTATAGTGTATTAAATAAGATGGAGACAGAAATCTTCGAGTTGACTTTGCACTGATAAAAACTGCAAATAGCAGAAAAAAGGCTTTCTTGCCCTACATTCCTTCAAAACTAAAAGCAGAATATCACATAGTACGACATTTAAAAGAACAGTTAAATAGTTTAAAAGAGTAACTCAAGCTGTGGATATAACACTTGGACATATTTAAAGTTGCGGGCCCTAAAATGCAGCAAGTGCAGCGGTCTCTGGAACAGGTAGGTACAGTTTGTAGAGCTGTGGTTTTGAAGTTCTGCTGTGTGCTCAGGTGTGTTTGCCCCTCCCTGGGCAGGAGCACTATCTCTCTTTACATCACCACTGATTGTGCAATGACATCCTACTCACTCAACTGGTCATGGCAATTTGACAGTTAAGCTGAAAAGTTAATATTTATCAACTGTGGTTTATTGCTTTAATTTCCAATTCATGTGCTTGCTTTCTTTATAAAATGTCATAAAAAGCAAACTACAAAAAAAATAATACTTATTCACTAGTGCTAGCACTCATACATAAAAATATTTTGGTGTGCTGAACCAAAGAGTGTCAAACATTGTAAATATTTTTGTTTTAGTTTCTGAACTAAAATAAGTCATTCCCAACAAACATTTTGTTCACAGCGCAGCTGAAAACATCGATACATTTTTAAAGGATGAGGTAATTACATATCTGTAAAAAGACCCAAATTTAAAACACGTTATCACTTGCCTCTGTTTTTTTAATATTCCTGAGTCTGCTGCATTTTTCATTTTAAAATTATTTTCAACACCATTCCTATGACTGAAAATAAAGTATTCAGATTCTAAACACATCCTAATTCCAACTCTATCCTCAGTGCTAACACAACCATAACCACACATACTGAATAGCATGTACAGGAGATACTGTAGCTGTGTCAGCGTGCGTAGGCTGCAAAGGCACAAGTAAAGGTTTCTTCTATGCTGAAAAGAGAAGAAAAGAAACACAACGTTTCGACTGTGGAGCCTTCTTCGGGTGTCTTCGGGGAGCCTTTTTTTGACCCGAAGAAGATTCCACAGCCGAAACGTTGTTTCTTTTCTTCTCTTTTCAGAGAAGAAACCTTTACTTGTTCCTTGCATACTGTATATGCACCTGGAAACATGGAAACATGCAGTACTAAAAGTCTTTGGAATTATAGCATGACTCTATAATGAATTATGCAATACTTACTGATTAACCAATTCAATACAACATTTTGACATTCACAAAGTTCTATTTCCTGTTGGTAATAGTTTAAATATGGAGGGACAATAATGCTAACTTCAACAGTCTGCTTTTTGTGTTAACAGTGGCAATAAACTGCCTATTATTGTATGTTGTAGACATTTTGAGACCAATGTTCCACTGAGTGTTATGGCAAAAGACATAAATGTAATGCCTTAATAGTTCCAAAGTTTCAGGCAATCTAAATAAAATATTTCAAAGACTTTGCATGAATCTGAGATTAATGTCATGTTCTTGTCCACAGTAATGCTGGATCTTAAACCAACAGCACACCTGTGAGGATGATTCAGACTGAAATGCATATCCGTTTCAACCAAATATAACTGCTGATCTAGTTGATGTTTTCCAGAGTGAGCATAGAAATATGCCTGTGATGTCTCTGCCAGTCTACATCAAGCTGTAAGTATTCATATTACTGGTGGACCCACCAGATTTCAATAATTAACTCAATCCATCTCTGCCAGACTATTGTTTAAAAATGATTCAATGGTGTAATCAAGGTTGAGCCCAATTTTTAAAAGATTTGTCTTTACATTTTATATTACTCTTTAGTATAGCCCCTGTCCTAATAGCACAAAACACATTTACGTAAACAAAAATGTTCCATGACAAAATTACATTTAGATATAAGCCCAACTCCAAGACAAAACACTAACTGTATCTCTGAATCACCTGGATACTTCAAAGTAAGCTGTCAATTGTAAAAACATTCTAATATTTTGTGTCAATATACATATTAAAAGTAAAACATCCACGAAGCCAGATGATGTGAAAAAATAAAAAAGTGCACATTATTACACTACATTATTTATTATGCAGAAAATGAATTTGATTTGAGACCTAAAGTTCTACTTTGGGCTTTTATCAGGTTATTGTTTAAATTATGTTTCTCCTGCAACTTGATAGGAAGTTTTTCTTTGCTTTCAGACACTCCAGGTCTGGTTGGTGAGCACAGCTTCAAGATTCTGCAACTTGCAGGGTAGATGGAGAGGAGCTCCAGCTGACCAACTGGGAAATTGACTAGCATTTAAGACTATAAGGTAGAGCACAGTGGAAAAAAAAAGTGCAAAGAGAGGGAAACTTTGGACTGAACAGGAAGTGTGCAATGTATCTTGAAATAAGATATTTAGCCCTCAGGACAAACGACTGACAGAACAGGCTTTTACAGTTCCTTTCGTACAGAAGGGAAAAAACAAATGTACCACATGTTGATAATCAAAACTGATGCAGTATGGTACTTGTTTGATGTGGAAAAAACAACTAAAAAAAAGGTCTTGGAAAAAGAGACATATCACTAACCCCCCATCGCCAGGGAAACTAAAATACCCATGTGACAAGAGTTTAAAAAAATAACCTAGCAATAAAAGAAGGACTTATACAAGCATGAGTAGAATCCACATTTACAGTAAAGCACACCTTCTGTCTTCTGTCTTACTATCTATATGAATGTGTTGTACATGCATGAATGGTGGGCCTGTGTCTGCCTTTCTGAGCAATTACTCTGCAGTTACCATGGAAACTGAAAAGAGACATGCCACCAACCAGTCCCACATGACACAGTTGATAACTAGAACATTCCCTCAGCCTCTGCTTTGGTACACACACTGGAGCCCAGCAGCCTGCTTACAACACAGATCCCTCACTTTTAGTTTTGGTTTCTTGCCTGGGTGCGCTCCACACACAGAAACCTCAAAGCCAAGATAGTTCATTTTTTCCACCCTATTGGTATACTTTCTTTGCTCAGGCAGCCATGGCCCTTCAAACATAAGAAACCCATGAAGCAGAAAAGGATGTGAAACAAATGAAGGGAACAAAAAATAACCCATACAGAATATTAATGAGCATGTACTGTACCTCGTGCCTGGTATTCCTGACCACATGGACTGCAGAACGTCACTGAGGAGGAAGTAGGAGCGAGGAGGAGACAAGCAGAGATGGAGTGAGGGGAGTGCAACAATTTCTTGCACAGCAGATCAGCACAAAGCCAGCCACAGCCCTCTGCGTAGACCCCACCCAGTGCAGGCAAACTCCACCCCAGGGGTGGTCTCCTTGTTGGAGGAAAGCCTGCGCCTCCCCGTCAGATCACTTCCTGCCACAGCTCACAGCTCACAGCTCAGTCAGCAGCCGGGGTCTCAAAACACAGTCCTCTGGGGCCTCTGGGGAGAGGGAGGGAACTAGGAAACTAGCTGTTTCATTTACAGCTGTAGAGACAAGGAGGTGGGCACCGAGGCCTGCTAACACAGGACTGATACAACAGCACCCCCTGCAGGCTGCACAGCCAAAGGCAAAGATTATCTCCAAAAAGGGAAATCACTTCTAAATGTACAAAAAAACATAGCAATATTAGTAGTCTCAATCCAAGAATACAGCTATGCAGTATACTGTATATTACATGCTGATATGTTGCAGAAGCAACAGCCTTGTGGCTGGAGTGAAAGAACATAGTCTAAATACTCAACTGTACGTATTCCCCCACATGCTAATAATCAAAGATTACAGATGAGCTACTACAGCAAAGGAGAAATGTGTTCCTACTTTCTATGCATTTGGGAGATTGTTAGGAGAATGTACAGACGTTGAACAATGGAAAAATGTGGTAATATGTATCACAGTTGGAGAAACATGGACAGTCAATTGAGTGCTTTAGCTGTGTCCTGCAGCCCATCAACAATAATATATGAATATGTAGTTCAATATTAATACGTAGTTCAATTCAGAGTTTTCAGAGATATTTTCTTATAGACATTGATTCTTTTTAAGTTGGTTGACCTGTCATGACGTAATTCAGAGAAACTACTGAATTATTTATCATTTCAAAAGAGTAAAGTTTTACTGTTATTTTTAAATACCGTTCTGTCCAACATATACTTTTAATAATATGGTGTTTTCTAAGAAATTCTAATATAAAATTAGTCTAATTTCAGTTGCACATCACCTTCAAGGATTTAGTTCCGATGGTAAACTGGGGAACTACCAGTATTTGCAATTTTTGAATTGCAGCTTTACAATAAATTGTTTTAAAACTAAGGCATTTCTGATAAACATTTAGGATTTTAGTCACAGCTCTCACTGTGCAGACCAAGCTTGGGTGAATTGAGTCATTTTTTATTAAAACTAATTTTTGCATACATTCCTGAAACCGGACAATTCTTGTTAGGTTTTTATGTGTTTATCTTTCAGATGCAAATAAGTATTGACAAGAATCCAAATTACATTTGTTGCTGCTTCCATGTAAAAAAAATAATCTTTGGAATGAAAATCAAATAAAATGTCAACACAATGAAAATCCACTAGAGGGACATATTTCCATACATATCTCTACATAGAACAATTTATATTTTCTCAAAAAGGAGAGAAGCTCTTTATAGAAACAGTTCTTCGTGCTTGCGGGGATCCTAAAAATTCACTATGGACAAACAGAATTTGTAATTTTCTACAGAAAAACATATTTCACCACTTTAAGGAAACTTCTTTATTAATTATGAAAAGTAGCCAGTTGCTTACAATTGTCTCCTTGGCATTATGCATTTGTCATTTTCAAGACAAAAATCAAGTTTTTAGCTGGCAGTTCCTTACAATGATAGACTGGCAAACAGTTTTGCTACTGCTGACATGCTGGCTAATTTGCAGGAGAGGTTGTTTGTACTACTCAATCCATGATAAAAATGGCAACAAAATGAAATCAACACACTGTTGTGGGGATGAACGCATTCTTATTATTTACTGTAGTTCTAGAATATGCATCTTAAAAATGTTCTTGATTGCAACAAAGCTCAAACAACTGCTACAGCACTAGAGATGACTGAAATACTTGACTAACAGTGCAATCCTTTACATAAACTAAAGTGTTTTAGCAACATAGTAAGCAGAACAAATGAAACCATGTGCCCAGTAGCTTGCTCTTCCATAAAGCCAGAGTTAGATGGCACTAGTGTGGCTTGATTGCCATGTGAGAGACAAGACAGTCCTGCCTGCCCTCCTGATTGGTGATTGATCAAACTGATTGGTGATGGACTACAAGCATGAGAACTTTGCACAGGGCTATGCAAGGCATATACAGTACATCATGTCAGCCTTAGGCGTCCAATTAATTAGATTTATTTATTTAAAGTCCATCGATTGGTTCACTTATTCCGAGAACCAGGGAATGAAGCAAACGTAGTACCCATTACGCCCAGAAACATATGTCTCTTGGATCCTGCTTTTCTTCAGGTTCTAGAGAAGCTTATTCTCCTTAAGTTTGTCAAGAACCTCTTATCAGTGAAGTACACTAGCATCTCATGTCTCACTAAAAATTGTCAGCTCGGATGAATTGCTACTGACCTTTCATAGTGTTTCACACCACCAGAGTAATCTCTCCCAGGACTGCAGAACTAAGTTGTCTTGGTCCATATTTACCAACTCAAACTCAAAGCTGCCACAGTACATGGTTGGAGGATAAAGGCTGAGGCTTTAGTATAAGATGTTTTGGCACCTCATTCACTTAACTTAAGGGCAAATCCAGTTTGCTCCAAAACTGGATCTTGCATCCAACAAGGGAAACATTAAATTGTACCTGGTTGTTGTTTGTCCTTTCCAGCTGGGTGAATGGTACTGGTAGCATCAAATGTGGACTTTTATGAGGACACCAACAAGGCTTCTCAGGCCATTGGAGATGTATAGTTTTCACGCAGTTGAAAAAGGTGCTAGGTTCACCTTTCATTAAAGTCTACTGCAAATTCGCCTCCAGTGCAAATAATGCTTTGTTTAATTTTTAATTAAACTGTCAGCCAGCTCAATGTGTGTTCTCAGTTTATGGAGATGGAGTGTTCAGAAACACTGAGACATAGGCAAGTGCACTTACTGTACCTTCTGATTGCAGTGAACAGACTGCTTAAGAATCAGCTAGCAATCGAGAGCTATTTTTCGAGCAAGGAACAAAAACAGGTGCTCAGGGTGGCCACAAAAATGAAGTGGCCAGTGAGAAATGCCTCACGCTGCTCCAAATTGTAAGCCTATATGTTATTTGCCCATAATGTCATGAGTCAATTTAATATGCCGAACCATGCTCAGCAGGTCTACAGTATGCATGGTGAATTACCTGGAGAACTGGTTTGACTTTTCAGAGGGATCACTCTTTCACTGTAACTACCAGATGAAATCTCCGGCAGCTAAAGAGCACGTGGCAGAAGCCTGAACAAATTCCAGATACAGGCTTAAGAAATTAAATAACAGATAGGCTAATGTTCCTACAGGTTTTTCTTTTCAGAGAATATTATTACATAAACTAAACTACTATCTCACATTAAACATTTTGCATTTGTATAAGGAATAGGCAAAAAATAGCATATCACTATTCACTGTTGATCTGATCATGTGTGCATTTTATAAAAACTTCTCATGACACCAGACTCATGTGTTTCTGACCCTGCTCTAAACTACAGCCTGACAGTTTTCATTATTATTTTGTAGATGCTGCTCCGCAACGCATCAAAAAAACAACAGTAAGCCCGGCCTAGTGAATACTTGGCATATGAGTGTACCTAGATTTGTGGGAAAGTGGAACACTTTTTGGCAAATTGCTACAATGATTTAACTTCCCTTCTCACATGATTGTTTGTTTCATTTAATTTAGATGTTTGGTGAAATATATTTATTTAGATGCTACGTCCTCTCAAGGGCATCGAGGGCACCTCTTTCACACCACCTCCTCACAATTAAAAACGCATGAGACCGCGGTATTATATTAACTGCTCATTGACCAGGACTGAATACATCACCTTTACTTACAGGCATCCCCCCGGTTGTGCTTCTAGTTTAAGTTGTAGGTATTTTTACAGCAATCTTCAATCTTCAAGCGTACGTCGGAGCTACTTTAGTGGCGAACGTTTTTAGGAAAGACTCAATATTTCCCATTCCCGGACACCTCCACATTTACTGCAGAACATGCGCCACTAAAGCGTCATTGTCCGGTTATGCGAAATTAGAAATCTGGCCCCCATTTGATGGCTGGGACAAGTCTATCCATTCACCCAGTTTCTAACCGCTTTACCCATTGTAACACAGGGTCGCCGGTGACCTGTGAGCCCAGCCTAGCCAGCGGCACGACCACTGGTTTGATAAAACTGAGAAAATATACAGTTGGGTTCACAGGGATACTGTCGTCTTCTGTCAAAACTAACCATATAACTAAAACAAGACACAGCTCGTGTAAGAAAAAAAGTATTTGCATTAATAGTATACATACACTTGCATTATTAGATAAACTCAATGATAAAACTACTTATATGCTTAGCGGTACGAGCATGAGACATGCCTTGCCAATTGGGCAGGAAACGATAGTTCTACTTTTTTTCTAATCTTGCAAACTATTAATACTGCAAACTTTTTTAAAAATCCCAAATCCATATGGCACATATGCACTTCAAGGCTGTCACGGAAACCAGCGTTAAATTTTATAAGAACACTTATGGTTACGAGTTGTGTGCATTTCAAATGGTTTAAATAAACAGCATTAATAAACCACCAGTGAAACTTGTCCGCGAATCTCTAACCATGGGAGTGACGCAATATAAAACGAAAAGCAAAAATAAAATAAATTGTACTTATTTTCTGTTTTACATACCAAAAGGGAGGATAGAAAACAAAATCGATGCCCAAAATTCAACTGAATTTTGCCCGCCACCTCTTGCAATGCAGTCTGAAACTGTGAAGTGGTGGGCCATGGGATTTGTAGTATCCGAACGGAAAAAAAGCAAAATCGGCATTTTCTGCTAACACATACAGGTCGTTACGAATCCCATTGGGTCAATCGTAACGACCTTGCGGATCTAGTACGGAACTGCATACTAAATTAAAATTTTAGCAAGATCGCAGGATCACCCCCAATAAATACACTGCCTTCAGCTCGCTGCAACAAAACTGATATAAACTTGCCTTGGTCATTCTAAGGCTGGATGCAAGATTTCCCCGACATTCATCCATAATTGTTTTTCACACCTCGCTCTTGCAAATTTAAAGCCTTAATCACTTGTAAAGATTTACAGGTGATCTTCTTTGTCTGTTTCTTAATGTCTTTTTCTTGAAGATTATCTTTTTTTTTTACCGTTTATCTGGTTCTTCTCCAATTTCGTGTCTTCACTCTTACAAAGATGTCACATTGCTCCTATTAGTGTGAAAACTATTAAACTTCTTATTGTTACTGTTCCTTATCACTCTGTGCTCCTTTGGGTAGTGTGGAGTTTGTTTGTTTTTTTCATTTTTTATTAGGAGAGACAACAAAGATTGGTTGAAAAGTTTGCACAAAGGCAGTTTCTCTTAAATTATACTATATCTCGAAAAAGCACTCCTGCCTTCACGCCTCTTTATTTTGGAAATCGTTTTTCAGGTGGTGGTATTAATGAACACAAATATGTATAATCATTTCTAGACTCTTCTAGACTGATATTATTTATGTCAATCATTGCTGGAAGATCATTTATTAAAATTATATATATATATTAATGATTAATAAATATGCTACACTTTCTTTTCTTTTGAAGTATAAAGGTTCTACTGTCAGCCTTTCCTTTAAACAATCAATAGGACAAGAGAACTTCGACCTAGGCAAGACCTAGGTCACTTTCTGCATAGCACATTGTTTTATACAAAGATATATTTCTGCATTTATTAAAACTAGAGAACTACATCTCTGGGTGACATTTCAATTGTAATAACCCTGAAAAAGAATACAAGACCAAGGCCACCGATGCTATCAATGTAGAAGGGCAGGATTAGAATATTGGTGATCACAGTGCAATATTGACCACAAAACCCCTTATGCAGTGAAACAGATGTTGTAAATGTAATGCTAGATGTATTTTTCAAAACTGCAAAGCCAAAAAATCACATTGTGTAATAGCAAAAGAACTTTGTTTTTATACTAGTATTTAATCAATGATGTCTATACAAGAAGGAAATTAATAACAGATGGGCACTTTTCAAACGGTAGGGAAAAGGAACTCTTCCTCAGTTCTATGTGGGTTTTTTAAATCTTTTTCTCTTTGCCCTACTGACCTGATTATAGGTACGTCATCAGTTACCATTGGTAATGAAGATCAATGGTGCTGTGCATTTCCAATAACAAATCTTTACTCACAGTACAAATAATGTATCAGTGTTATGCTTTTTATCTAAATGCTCCTTTTAATTAAGTGACATACACACTTGAAAAACATGCCAGATGTTCTGTTTATTGTATAGAATGTCATGAATGCTAAAAACAAATTAATCATCCACCCTGTTTTTGAGCTTTAATATGTGCTGTTCATTAGGGATCACTTCTAAGCCAATTTGCAGAATATGATTGTACTATATGTCTCACAAAGGGGGTGAATTATCCCTAACCAAAAGCAAATAAAAAGAAACTGAAAAAAAGCAAAAATTATCCCATAATCCTAATGAAAAACTGATATTTCCTTTAAATAAAACAAAAACTTCATTTTGAATTATTACAAAAAATGAGAGAAATAATGCAAACATGGACATAAATTGAATGAATGGTTTAACCTGACAGAATGAATATCACTGTATATTGTTGCTTATCCTTTATTGTTGTTATTTTTCACTGGGGCCTTAGTAGGTGTTTAAATCTCAGCACTTTTTATCTTCATCCTTTTAGAGCCTTGAGACTCTAAAACATATTAAGAAGCACAAGCAGCACTCCCTAGTGGTTCAATTAGAGGGACTCTTGCTTTGTGTGCAGATTGGATTCTACGGCTTAGACATCATAGATCTGTAGGCGCTGGTGAGGTCGCTAGCTGATCAAGCCACGAATCCGCAAGAGGTTGCGTAGAATTGGCTCAGCAACACTGGCAAAGGGCAAGGATTAGCAAGACAGGGCTCACCTGGCTGGCTGCCAACCAGCCACTACTCCTGGTGTGTGCCTGCAGTGACATCGGTGAAAGAGAGAGAGCTCGCAGCAGGTCAAATGATAAATGGCAAAATAATGCAGGTAATTATAAATGATGAATAGCTTGGATTGAGAGTGATGGAGGAACATCTTATTCTCTCCCAGGCGGCCACAGGAGCTGTTGCCTGCTTGCAAAACAATTGGCAATTCCAAACTGGGAGAGTGCATAAATCATAACTGACAGTTCCACATTTAAAAATATATGTATTTACTAAAAAGAAGCACAGTGAGAAGGAAAGAGTGTAACAGTGTGTCAGTAAAGCATAGACTACTATACAGTAGTTCAAACAAGTATTTTACAAGTATTGTAGCATGTCTATTCCTTGACATTTCTCTAAACTGAATGAATACATACAGTAAGTAGTATATAGAGCGGAATACAGTCTTTTTGCTGTTCTGCATCAGTAGGATTATTACATTGGGGGGGGGGGAGTTTTCCTCATTCTTACTTATTTGAGCTTTTTAACAGTTCTTGGCATTCTTCAACGCAGCATTTACTGTATCTTCCTTACTGGCATTGTAACCTTGTAGGTTTTTTTTTTTGAGAAATAACTAGTTTGTTGTTTTTATTTCATTGGCCTGGTATGGCTGCCATTTGTACATCCACTTATACAGCTATATACACAGGCACGATGCACCCATCTTCCACACCAGCAAAGCAAGTTTATATTCTGCTATATACGATTGTGGCTTTATTTAATGATTTATGTTTTGCAGCACTGTGGCACAGTTGTTAGTATGTTAGTATTGCTGTCTAGCAGCTTTTAGGCCCTAGGTTTAAATCTGGACCTGTGGTGCTATCTGCGTGGAGTTTGCACTGCTCTGGTGCTCTGGATTTGTCCCGCAGTCCAAAGACATACTGGTAGGTTAATTGGCTGCTGGGAAAAACTGGCCCTAGGTGTCAGTATGTGGGTGTTTATGTCTGTTTGCCCAATGATGGACTGTCCTGTCTAGGGCGGACCCTGCCTCGTGCCAATTGCTTGCTGAGATAGGCTCCGGCTCCGCTGCGACCCTGAATTAGATGAACCAGTTAGATAATGAATAGATGGGTAATCTACTGTATGTTTCATGCTTTAAACTAGCTTAACTCTTTTTAGCCATAACAATACTATATTTACTAGGGCAAATACTGTACATTGCAATTACAACCTTGTCGAAGTTAAGTGACAGGTGTTTTGCCAGGTAATCTTTCATTTAGATTTGTTTGATTTTTTAGGTGAATCCATGCTTCTGAAAAAAAGAACAAATATATAGACTGGCTTATTGAGATATTGCTGCATGCTTGAGCTAACTGATGCTAGATACTGTAATCAAATGAACCTGAGGTTTTCATAAAATTGCAGACTCTGTGTCAATGCTCAGACATGTCCAGGGCAAATGTAGATAACATCTGCACCTGGCTGTGCATGTGATACCCCCATAGGTGGCACACAACTGGTTGAACGATGCTGGGGTTGGGTGGGTTTGAATCCACAGAGGTATTATCAGCTTGCTGTGCAACATTGAACCCTTGGATTTCCCAGGTGTCTGCGAGTCTGCAGGCTTTTTAAGTTACATAAGAATGTTGCAAATGAGAGAAGGCAATTGAGCCCATCCTGCTTGTTGGTAGTAAAGTAGCTATATGAATCTAAGGTTCTCTCCAAATTATTCTGCAAGGTGCCGAAATTTAGGACTTCAAACTCTTGACTGGGAGGGTTACTCTAGATAGTGTTTCTTATTCATTCTGCTCTAAATTATTTTCTTTTTCATTTCAATGTGACCCTTTGTTGCTGTTTTGTTGGAGTTTCTGAGGAACACACTGGTGTTGAAACTAATGGTTGTATACCATTAATATTTTAAATGCTTGTATTGAATCTCCTCTGAACCTTTTATTAATTTAGGCTGAAGAAATTTAGCTTCTTTAATATGTCTGTATGTGACTATCAAGACCAAACATCACTCTAGTTGCTCTTCTTTAAACTCTTTCTAAGCTTATAATATCCTATTTTTGTGGTATGATATCCAAACCTCAGCACAATGTTCTAAATTATGATTTACTAATGCATTTTGCAAAGCTTGAACATAACTTCTCTTGATTAAAATTCCCCATCTTTTGTAATATTCAAAAACATTGTCTGCCTCTTTATTGCTACCCACATTGTTTACATGACAACATAGGAAAAGCTACATAAACACCAGATTCTTTTAAGAAATGTCTTTGTGCACTTCAAAATCACCTACATTATGTGATACAGTGTGTATTCATACTTTGCAGATCTCTTTACACTTAACTAGTGTTACAGTGGATTTATTTTGCAATGTGATTCGTGTTTTTCTCAATTTATTTCTGTGGTATCAACTGTCATTGCTTATTTAGAAGAATCTGAGTAAGCTGGTTAATCAAGGCCTTCCCTTTTCATCCATGTTGACTACATCTTAAAACTATAGTTTTTAACCATATTTCTTGTATGTCTAGTTTAGATTTGTTTGTGTTTGTCTAGTTTAGATTAACAATCTGTGTAAACAATTTGTTTACACAAATTGTTAACAGAAGCAAGACTGATTGGACTTCAGGTTTAGATTTTCTCCACTTTTTATGAATTGGCTCTACATTTTCAATTCCTCTGTCAGTGGGTAGAGTTCCCATCATTAGTAAGCAATGCAATATCCTAGTTATGTGGCAGTTAAAGCTTCATCAGACCTTCAGTGAAAAATACTCTGTGTGTCTTTGTGCCATTTATAAGTCTGTAT